TGGGGGGGGGGGGGGGGGGGGGGGGGGGGAGGCGTACTCTTATGTTTTACATGCCTAAGCGGTTAGACCATTGACCACGCGTCCTCGAGAGGACGGAGCATTGTTCCCACAGGACCGATCACCGATGGCCAATCGTTCCTTCCTACTTTGCCAAAGGTGGCTCAAAAATGTCTTCCCTAGTCTGTCTATCCTAACGATATCCCTTCCCGCCTTTTCAAACCACTTGCTACTCCCCAGTACAGCTACCGCCCTCTCCTCTCTATTCCATGCCTCAAACATCTCCCTGTACGCCCCTTGTGTTTTTCCCAGCTCAGTCATGTACACTTCCCTCTCCTCTTCGTACCACGGACATTCCGCGACTACATGAACACGGTCTTCGCATTCGAAGCCGCAATCACATTTGAACTTGTCGTCTTCGTCGTCTACCGTCCTAATGTCTTCGTCGACGTTCTCGAAGGCCTATGTCCCCGGTCCTGAATTTGACCTTAAGCTTTGTCCCTGCATCCATTGGTCGATGTAGGTAATCCTTGAACCCTATTCCTTCTTTCAACATTCCGTACACTTCTAGACCCTCCTTATCCTTGGTTTCTTTCCTTAGATTGTGTTCTTCTCTCTCGGCACAAGCAACAGATATCTTCTCCTTGAACCCCTGTAGACCCTCCGTTTCCAGCGTTTCATCTTCGTCGATGTCTAACCCCTTCCATACGTCCTCTACAACCTTGACCCCATTCCGTGGGTTGTCTACCCTTCTTTTTGTTTGCCCACTTCGCCTCCCATACTATTCTCGGCAACCTCTCCTCTCCCATCCCGCACATGCGATACTGCCATGTCAGCTTCCTTGCGTCTCTTCCCGACCGTAGGGATTCGATCCCCAATTCTGCCCTTACGGCTGCATTACTTGTGCGCTTGGAGCATCCTAGGATGATCTTCGCTGCTTTCATCTGCGCCGCCTCGAGTTCTTTCACTACCGTCTTATTTCCTTCCCATACTTCTCCGGCGTACTCTAGCGGCGGTACGATTACGCTCTTCAAAACCGCCAATTTGATGCGTGTATCGAGGTGCCGGTTTGCGAGTATTGGGTGCAGCTTCCCTGCTCGTGCTTTGCCCTTTTCCGCTACCTTGGACATGTGTGCATTCCACGAGCAGTCGTTTGCGATCTCTACTCCGAGGTATGTGTACTGGTCCACTACTGCAATCTCCTCGATACCCCACTTCCATCTATCTTCTACTGGTTCCTCCCTGACCTCGTTGCACACCATGACGGTACTCTTCTTAACGTCGGCAGACAATCTCCATTTATCAGTAAACTTCTTCGCCGCGTCAATGTGTAGTTGCAGTCCCTCGGGGGTGTCCGACATACCAACAAAAATCATCCGCAAACAGCGTTCCTGACACCGAAGTTTCCGCTTCGGGGGGGGGGGGGGGGTGTACTCGTAGTCGTGCATGCCGTAGTCGTTAGACCATTGACCTCGCATCCCTACAAAGCCGGGACGGAGCACGCCGGGTTCTCACCGGACCAGGCTCTCACATCACCAAGCGCGGAAGCGCCGTGAGGTACTCGGCGAGTCGCATGAAGGGTGCGGTGCATCCTGCTAAGGGTGTTCGGCATCTTGTGCTTACTTCCCTTGCGTACGGATGACAGCTGCGTATGACTTAATTTATTTTCGGGTGCTTTCACTTCCAGAGACAGTTGTAAGCACTGTGTAACTGCCTCGAGGATGCTTGACCATTTTAACACAACGTGGTGCGATCATCCCCCTTGCGCGGAGTGAGGGTTCCCGACCCCGCACAACATGGTCTACTCGACCACCATTATGGTTACCGCCAAATTAAAAACAGAGGTAAAAAAAAAGCCGGTAACCTGGTTGCCGAGTTCACGAAGTGAATTGGCTTGTTTTACAACGTCGTTCCCAAGCGACTAAAATCCAATCCCGATGGCAAACACCGAGGGAGGGGCTTGTTTTACAACGTCGTTGCCAAGCGACGAAAACCCAACCCCGATGGCAAACACCGGGGGCGTCGGCCATGTTTTACAACGTCGTTGCCAAGCGACGAAAACCCAACCCGCGATGGCAAACACCGGGGGGGGGGGGGCGGGGATATACCCTTGTATCCCCGGGTTTTCTGCCGAGGCGACGGTGCTTCGGCGTCCCGTTCTCGCATGGTGTGCATCACCGCTGGCGCTGCTGGCTCTCTCTGTGGAGCTGTGGAGACCCCCGAGAGTTGGCAGACACCCCGCACACTACAGGGTCATCCTCGCAATCTTCACATGCATAAATACCTAAGTTGGAAGCGACGCGCTGCGAAGCTCGTTGTTGGTAAACTCGATCGACTTCATAAGTCGCGAGGGAAGGGATTGCTGTACCCTTCTGGCGATAAAAATATCTCAGGCAGGAACCGCAGGAGGGGGTCCAACCCCCCCCTCCTATGTGACCCCGGTTGGGTCGTCTAGCTAGTAGAAGTGGAGGATAGGGGCCAGAGGGGCAGACGACAGAGTCCAATGATGGGAGAAAAAAAAAAAGAAGGGGGTAGCCGCTATAGCCCACCAGTCGCCCGTCCGTGTGACCGATTGGCTAAGTCAAATGTAACCCTACAAGAAGACCAAGGCTACGAGTATATTTGCGAGACTATGCTCCCTGTTGTGCAGTGCTATAGATAGAGGAGGCGGCAAGGGCAAGTTTGAAAGGCAGGTGGTTCAATGTGAAAGCTGGTCAATGACCTGTTCCAGTTGAATGGACTGATTTCGAGCTTTTTGATCGATACTACTATTTATCACTACTGCTTGTGCTGTGCTTTACTACTGTAACTACTGTACTTTCTTCGTACTATTTGTTGTACGCGAACTAGGCTGCTGCTTGTTTCCGTGTGTTCCTGTAAGTAGCACGGCTGGGTGATGAGTGTGGGCCAGCATCGATGACGAGGAGGTAGATGATGCAGAACGGGAAACGAGAGTGAGGCACGTTTACTATATCCATCCATCTACAGCCTCATGGTAATTTTTCGACGAGTCATGGTAACTTTTCGAATTTCTTTCCCTCCGGGGGGGAGGGGGGGTGGCCTATGTGTCCGGATTTTTTTTTCGCACAGACCCTTGGGACCCCTGCTGTTGCATGGGCATATGGGATTGTTCTATGCATAAAATGTACATATGCGTACGTAAAGCGTATGATACACGTACGTATGTATGCATATTTCATACTCGTTGGAGTATTTCTATGCATACAGCAGGATGCATACAGCAGAGTTTTTTTTTCTGAGGGAGCCTGTTGCATAGGTCTATTTGCACAGACTAATGTGTTTTGTGTGGGTTCGTCCTACTACAGTACATACGAAACGGTATTTATTTACAATATTCGTAGGTATGCATAATAAGCAATTATTTGCATATTTTCGAAGAAGTTGTTATCACGAAGGGTTTCAGTGGACGCGGATATATGTCGTTAAACTTAAAAATGTACCAGAACCTCGAATATGGGAGTCTTGCGGGATAGTTGTCGACGATGTAAAGTTTGGGATTTAATGAGGTCTCGTGCTACGAAAAGCCTGGAGACTCCACCCAGGGTTACTACCCACGCGTTGACGTCCTCCGTGTCGTCAACGCGGCAGTCGCGCAGAAAGTAATAACCCCTTTGTAATATGTCAAAAGTACGACGTACATACAAAGTACACAGCAGTTGGGAGGGCGGCACGGCTGTTACTCCTAGCGTACTTTCCCCTCCGTTAGGGTTGGGAAGGATTGTCACGAGTGGGTGTTCTCTCCAAGCCTCTCTGCAGGTATTCTGTTCTCATCTGCGGAACCCCTTCGCGGTTTCATGAGATTAACATTGTGTTTCTCGACAGTAAAGTTTGGGATGAAATGAGGCCTCCGGCTATGGCACGGGATCTACCCATACTTCATTTCGACTGCCCATTCCTTATCCTTGCCTGCCTGAGATTTTATCCCACACTTCCTTAGATTCCTGTAACGGACTCTCGATGGTTTATTGTATCCCGAACGCAAACCTTCAGCAAGCCTGCGGCAAATCAACTGCTTGTAGATACCGCTGCTCCTGCTCACTTCGGTCCTGATCTCGCGGTCGCTTAGCGGAGGAACCCCCCACGTGCGTCATCGACCCTACATATCGCTGAGCTACCCCTCTCGTCTTCCACCCCACGCCCCACTATTATAGCTCCATGAGGGCTCCTACGGCAGTCCCCGCTAGCGACTGTCTAACTGCTCCTCCTACCAGGAAGGAGTGTATAGGATACGGTCCCGCACGTGATTCACCCCGCCTACGACGTGTAGATAATGCACGCACCCTCCCATTACCTCGCAAAATTTGAAAAGAAGAGATGCATGAGACCAGTCGGGAAGTGTTCCGCAGGACAAATATTCTCCAGCTGTCGCACAGAGCAGCGGGTTGGGATTTTGGCTTCACCAGCAAGTCGCGCCGTCTATGCATACAACAGTACCTCCACACACACACGTCATGCTCTCAAATCAAGACAAATTCCCACCAGTCAAATTTCAAGACAATACAAGCGACACGGCGGGTGCTTCAAGGACGCGTCTGCAACCGTGTCTTGGTGTTCTGAAAGGACATCTTCCTGCTCCACCGCTATATTAACACTTCCTCGACGTTACAAAATGTTGATATTCGGTGGGAAATATATGGAGGGCATGATGGAGCAGCGACCAGCGCGTCTGCACGCCGAAACGTGGTACTGGGGGTATGCTCTCGAAGGTTTAAGGTGCGGTCCGGCAAGTCCGGATCTGGGTCCAAACCTTGATCCGTACACTGAGCGATCCATTTTGCTGTACATGCGGTGACGGACCCAATCCCCGAAAGTGCTGGTCATCCAAGATAGCTTGTGGCGTGAGCTATGTACTGCGGTACACCCGCAATTCAGAAGGTTGGGCCTGTAACGGTGCGCACAGCAGTGGATCGTGAATGTGACATTGACCCAACTTTGGGGACATTTCGGGCCATAGCTGCCGAGCCTTCGACAGCACGATATCAGCAACAGATCTGGGCACGCCAATGCGCACGCCGATTTCCCATTGAAGATAACAATTTCTGAGCCAGAAGATCGGTTTCCATGTTTTGGCCTCCTAATACCTTGGATTTAGGCTAGAAACGAATTGCCAGGCTCTTCAGGGACCCCTTGAAAGTTGAGCACTGCTTGTACTTCAAGAGTAAGTATGTGTCTTCCTTGGGTTCGTTGTCCGGGAATTCTCCTGGAGAAGGCTGCAGAAATTTCTTCGCGCATCTCTCACTGGCACTCCAACGCAGTAGTGACGAACCATGTGTGCTCATGGTTTTTATTTTGCGATACTCTTGATTCCATTCTCACCCTTTCTTTCCTCAGAACCTGGATGCTGTGGCCGGTGCGACCAGACACCTGGAAAGAGTCTGCACGTCCAGCCCAACTCGCTTTCGCCGCAGTGGCAAAGGCGATCGCGCGGTTCGAGCCAGTGACAGTCGGCGTTCCTTCGAGCCAGTTGCAGTCAGCGCAGCCTCTACTGGATGCCACGGGCATTGGCATTGCAGTGATTGAACAAGACGATGCTTGGATCCGGGATACAGGACCTACATTCGTTGTCGGTGGTACCCGTAGTGAAAGCTCGGAACGGCAGCGCGGAATGCGAAATGTTCGGGGCGTTGATTGGTCCTTCAACGCGTGGGGGGGCGAGTTTGGGGGTTGCTTCTCGAACTGGGACAAGGACGACGCTATCGCAAGTACGGTGCTGGGGCTTGTTGGCGCTGATCGCTACAAGGCAAACATGGTTTTGGAGGTATTGTGCTGGAATGCAGTTGCGCCGACCGTCCGTGACAGGGATACTCGAGTTGTGTTGCAGAAGTCTCTCTTGTGAGGTGCGCATACCATTCAATCAATATTTCTCCGTGTTAAAGTCGTGAAGTGCCGTTGACGTGTTCCCGTCTTGCATCAGGGGGGATCTGTCCACGTGGATGGAGAAGGAACGGTTATTACTACGGAAGAATGCCTCCTCAACCCCAACAGGTGGGGCCTGCCCTTCTCCGGCACGGACGAAACATACATGCGCAGCATATGGGATAGCTCCCAAGTGTGAACCGAAGGCGGTCAAGATTGATTAGTATATTATCCATGCTCACAGAACCAAACAGCAGAGATACAGATTTCCTTGCGGCAGGCTGCGATGACGTACATCCCCGCGGAACTTGCCACTGTTGTGACACGTTTCAAGTCGACGGATGTTTTCGCCGTTTCTTGTTTTGTTTGTTGTTGCCAGAAACCCGACCTTCACAAAGAGCGAGATTGAGAAGCACCTGAGAGACTACCTTGGGGTGAAGTTGGTGCTTTGGCTTGGGCAGGGAGTGACGGGCGATGTTGATACTGATGGGCATGTCGACAATCTTGTCGCATTCGTGCATCCTGGAGAGGTGAACATTGTGGCAGGAAAGTTCTTCTTTCGAAATTGGTGGTGGTTCCTTGTTCGCCATTGAGGTATCTCAGGCAAGCGAAGGACCCGGCTCGAGAAGGCCAAGCCTAACACACAACTGCCTGGGTCGTGAGAAAGTACGCCGATCATTGCTCGAGCCGAAATGTGTGTCACCCGTGAAGGCTCTGTGAAGGCTGCAACCCACGACGGGAGATCGTCGGGCACGCCTTGGACGATGGAGAAACTAATACCTGTGCGGTCGTTTATGGCATCCCGCCACACCCACCAGCTAGGAGTCGCTCGCCACCCGGTACATTTGATTCAATCCACTGCACGCGGGTTTGGTTTGGTTTGGTTGTCCCAAGGCACGGTGTGCTACAGCATGCATTTGTTGACGTATTTGAATCGGAGATGATAGAAGAATGACGTCTCCTGCTAATCATCATGCCTCACATTGTTGGCAGCAGTACGTGTGATTGTCCGAGCTGGGACCTCAATCATCTCCGTACCCGAGTGATTCACCTTCAGTCGTTGCTCTGCAGGTAGTCCTGCACTGGACGGACAACACTGAGGACCCGCAGCATGCCGTCTCTTTGGATGCTCTCCGGAGGCTGGAGGCGTTTATAGATGCGAGAGGACGACAACTGAAGGTACAGTATTGGGTAATATCCGTATTCTGCGGTCTCAAAAAACGAACATACGGCGGGGCAGTGGCACCGTATGGTAGGGCTCTTTTTAGTGTTGGTTTTCGAATCCCCTGTGCGCACACTTGTGACAAATTTTGTCGTGTTGATTGAGAACAACGATCAGATCGAACGTGCTCAGTTTTTGTTGTCATTGCTTTGACCACATGAGCAATCGTTCCGACCGCCTCACTCTTTCAATGGCAAACACACGAATATCCGCGGTGAACTAAGTACGAATTAAAGATGCCAAGAAGTCCCAGCTTTCTTAGAGAAGTGAAACTTCCGAGAATCTCATAAATGAAAACTGCAGAAAGGACACGGACAACGCTAAAAACCGTAATAGTCGGAGAGATGGCACCGGGGTGCGCACATAATTACAAGAACGGCATGATTAATTTCGATTGACACTCCGGGGTCGGTGAGATCGCACCGGGTGCAATCTCTCCAACCCCTAATCTAAGATTCAGACTGAGCTCATTTTCAGCTGCCGGAATGAGGTACATGTATGCATATGTGCGAACATTTTACATGTGGGGCGGTGTCAGCGTCACTCTTGTATGTACGTGTGTATAGTCGCGGTTCAATCGGGGTGCCAGTTGTTTGCATTTTTTAATTGGTATGGAAGTTGCCAACCGTATACTCAACCAAACACACAAACGTACAAGCCACACTCTACCCCACCTTACACAAACGCGAAACTATCGTACTGCTGCGTTCGTACTGGTATCCGTAGAGGACGACCGAAACGAAAGCGGGAGACAATTGATACCGTATGTACCGGTACCTCATATGGAAGCGACGTCGTTTGTTGTCGTCACGTCGTCACGCCATACCCAAACTCATCAAACACAAGACCACTCGCTGCATGGAAAGCTGTTATTTACGTACCAGCCTACGTGACCGTTACCGGTGTGTGTGCTTCCAACCAGCAACAACGGTACCTACACGTGTGGTTCTAGCGATGTGTCGTAACTCCGTCTGCCTACACTGGTATCAATACTATGGTACCGGTCGGGAAGATGGCACCGGGGTGCTTGCATACAACACCTTTGTGTACTTCATCGGGGATCGCACCGGTCGGAGAGATCGCACCGGGGGTGCCTTGAAAAAGCTAAACGAAATGACTTAATTGCATTTCCGCACCGGGGTCGGAGAGATCGCATCGGGGTGCGATAAACCACCCGAGGAAGAACATTAAAAAAAACGATCGCACCCGGTGCCATCTCTCCGACTATTACGGTAAAAGCCATTGATCCGTTGAATCGGAAGTTGAGTCGCCCCATACCTTGACCTTCGCGCGTGCCCCTTGTTGACTTACATGGCTAGATCAGCATGTGTCCCAATATGCCACTCGGAGCTTTGCGCAGAGTTAGAGCAAGAGTGTCACGAAGAAGGAATGGAAACAATGGGGAAACAAGCATCTAACGCGACACGACACAGCAGTCAGACAAAGGAAAAGCACACGCCGATGTCAACTCAAGCCGGAGTTCGAGGCTTCGTTTATACCAAGCTATAAGTACGAAGTCTGAACAACAGAAATACAACACACCCTCAACATTTGGAGGTTTGTATACCTGTAGCCGGGATGCTGCTCGATGCAAGGAAGGCTCGGCGAGATTAGCCGAAATACGTAGTTGGTGACACGGTTATTAGTTCGAAACAGTTGTATTGCACCGAATCTGAATGCCCACGTTCGTTCATGGTCAACAAAGGTTCACAAGTGCCCTCTTCCGGGCCCTCTGCACACGACGGAAGAAGATGTGTCGTCTCTGGAGCATACATTGGGGTCACGGGAACGAGCTCAAGGTAAGAACGCCTGCTAATTTGCTTGCGGGCAGTTTTTTTACAAGTGTTTTCGGCCGTTTACCACTTGCATCAGCGGTCGACCTGATGTCGTCAATGGCGTACCAGAGGTAAATCGGCACCCCCCATGCCCTTACCTCGAAGCCTTTGGATAACCTTCGGATGGACAAGTTGTGGCTTCTAGCCCCAGCGTGACACTCTTGAGAACGCACTTGTCGGCGAGTACAAGTTCGACCAAAAAATGATGCGAGGTAGGAAAAATTAGCTAAACTGGAGGTACGCAACACAAACGCAACTATTTTTCTGGGTAACCCCCGAAAGTGGCTCCTTGTTGAGAAATAGGAGGTACGTAGGTACTGACGCGAACGAAAAATAATGTAGGGTGATCAAAAGCATGTGAGAAATCTATCCTTCATGGATCCATGGGTGTGCTGGGTTATTTAACGATATGGATTCATTTGCGGAGTGGGCTCCTCGTTTGGCCAGAGAGGTAGTGACGCGTAATCCTTTCCGCCATGTCACTGGTTCACAGCGAAATCACACCTCAAATTCTTGAACATCTGAAGGTGACAGACTGGCTGCATCATACGTGAACTTCTACCTGGCGAATGGGGCTGTCATCCTACCAGGCTATGGCGTGCCTGAAGATGAAGCTGCCGTGAGATTGTTCAAGGTGAAGAGCGCGTGCATGATGGTGGCCGTTTCGCGCCTGGGTGTTGTGTGAGGATGAAGTCGTGTCTGGAGCAAGTTGCCCCCGGCCTCATCCGACGACCGCTTCTTCCCCCCCTCCCCACAGCGAGAGAAAATGATCTTGGTGTACTAACCATTGAGTTGTGATAAGTAGGGTAGAGACAGCGAAAAAGAGGCAACCGGAACGGGAGATAATAACACGTCTATAGAGCAAGGACGAAAGAGATTCGGCTTGGGACTAGGTCGAGTCCAACTCCATCGTTGCCACAACGTTGCTACCTCACACCGTAACATGATATACGGTTGTTCTAGACAGCGAAACTTGTGTTTGCGAACAAGTGTTGTAGAAGCCGAAATCAAATCTATAGACTCCGCAGCGCTTTTGTATTCCGATATACAGGGGGCACGGCGGCTACCCGGCGCATGCTTGTGCGTCTGGGAAACAACAGCGAAGGATCGCAATGCGCGCACAAACGAGGGTATACCACCCGATGCTTACATAAGGATGTAGTAAGTTGTCAGGCGTTGGAAAGTCGGTTGTGTAGGGAGGTCTTGTGTGTTGTGTATGAGATCCGAACGAGGAAAAAGTTGGCTGCCAACAAATTCATGGCGGAGGGCAACCGAGACACACTCACGCCCTATCGTATTACCCACAAAAAACTCTGAGCAAATGTTCGGCTGGCCCGTACCACATTATTTTCGGAACCTTTAATTTGCCATTGAGTAGCTCGAAAATCGCGAGAAAGTAAGTGGCTTTGGAGGGCTGCAGATGGCGGCGAAGAGATTCGAAACAAGACATCGTATTGCCGCATACGGCAAACGCACCCGAGGCTGGCAGGCAGAAGGACGGACGCCCCGCCGCCCCCCTCAAAACGGACAAGGATCCGAGCATCACACGACACGAAGGGTTGCACCCTTGCACCAGCTACGCTCCTATCCACCCTACTCCGAAAAGCATACCAGTAGATAGGAACCTCGAGAGCGTCGGTCGAAGAAACGTCTCTTAGTTTTCGACAGTGCGTACAAGGCGACCTCCAAGGTGCGGGGGCCAAGTTGTTCCCCAATATTGTTCTGACAATTCTTCTTGGTCGCAACATAAAGTAATTACCTCACGGGTGCAAGCTTGCATTTTCGTTTTTTTGCGAAGATACAACACTTGTTCTGGCTGGTTGAGGTTTGTCCCTTTCGTGTACTTGTAAGAGTTTCCGCGATTGTCACCCTTTGTCTTGCTTTAGACAGTTACCACTGTAATGACATCCACCATTCATTGTTGACCAAGCAGACTGCCGGCACGTTCATGCAACCGGAATGTGGTCAGTCCATGTTCACTTGATCAGTAATATTTCGCGATGCACTGATGGACTACTGGTTTGCCGATGAGTTCACTGTCGCCTCTCCCTCCCGACCCCCCGTGCGCCCCCATATGCGCGACTGAGTCCAGGCGATATACCCGGAACGTGAAGTCATTCAAGTCGACACCCGCGCTGTGGCTTTGGGCGGTGGTAACATCCATTGCATCACGCAACAACAGCCTGTCGGGGCCACACGAGGCTAGCTAAATAGCTAGCTTTCTAGAGTAGGGGGGTTGATGCCCCTCCCACCCGGAGGACGAGTTTGAAAGATTTCAATTGAATTGTGAGTAAAAGAACGCAACGCGCAACGCGTTCGCGTCTGTTTTGCGACCCAGCTTTTTATATTTGCGCTTTTTGCACTTGTCGAAGTTGGCATTTGTCTTCGTGGCGTGCGTGTGGGGCTGAAAGAACATATTGTCGTACAGGATGTTTTCGATTATGCCATGCGCGTGACTACACCGCCTGCGTCTCGCTTTTTCCGAAAACACGTTTTTTCTGACAAAATTCCTACGCTCATCGTACATGGGACCGCCTGTTTCGTGCTCCGTTCGGCAATTGCGACGACGAGGTTCCTCAGATTGCCGACAACACGGGATAATCCGCAGAGAAGCTCGGTCCCTGTGGCCCTTTCGGAAAGTCTCAAACCTAGTACTCTCCCAACCTACTTCGAAGTATAACTTTCACAAATGTTTTTCTCGAACCACTGCCCAAAACTCTTTCGAACTCTTGTAAGACCAGCACTCCCGTACGCACGCATGAGACTCGTCGGGTCGGGTATTTTACCGACCGGGCTGCCCACCACGTCATGATCGACCAAGGCGTTCGGAGTTTGTTCGTCTCTGGGGCTTGTGTCGTTTGGCTCCTGGCCGTGGCTAATTTCTTTGTCGTGCTGAACCGACGCGGTCAGCGCTCCACTCGCACTTGCACGGTCTCCCTCAGCAAGTAGCGTCATCCCGTTCGTGCAGCGTTCGTTGCCGAGCTTCTCCCTGTTGGGAGTATTCTGCCGGGCCTCACTCGAGTGTTCAACCAGAGGTTGCATTCGGTTTGCTACGCCATCGCCGACAGGTTCTTCACTTTGTTGCTCGATTCCGTCGCCTCCTCCTTGCCCTCTCTTTTCCAGGACCTTGCCGGTGTTTTCGTGTTTCTCTGTCCTTGCTTCCTCGCACTTCTCAGTCAGCTCTTCATCCGTTTCCACTTCGTCTTCGTCCTCCCCCTCTGCCCCCCCGCCTTGTTCATGTCGGGGGGTAAAGGGACTTGCCGGCTCTGCTTCTCGGTGAGTGCAGCTGTCGCACAAAAGCAAGTCCTCTCCATCCCATTGCTTTTGCCCCCGCTCTTCCTCTTGCTGTGTTGCCTGTCTTGTATCGGCCGCTCCTTTTGTATTTTCTTGATCGATACAGAACGGTGAAGTTCTCTTCTTCTCTGCTGCATAAGGGAATCTGCTAGATTGCGATTCAAGGGCCCCTACCGATGTCATGTTCTCGATGCCTTCGACCGAGGGAGGCTCTTCGCACTCCTCATCGTCGTCTTCCACGATGCGGCGCTTGTTGTTTCTCCTCTTGATCAAGTGACTGCCCGAGGTTCCTCCTTGGCGCGATGCATCAAAGTCGTCGTCGATGTCGGTAACGGACCAGAATTCTTCTTCCTGCAATGGAATTTTGATTCAAGGCTTTGCGTTGGTGGGCTGAAGCGCTCACAGATGGCACCGCTAAAGAACAACAGACAGAATTCAGGAATCGAATCAATCGGGAGCCAAGCATTCTACGACAGAGAAAACTTTACGCTGCCTCCGAGGCGGAAGGGTAGAAATGTCTCTCTCTTGGTGCTACGCCCGCTGTCTCTACCTCTGATACCGAGCTAGCCTTTGAAGACGGAGGTAGACGAGAAGTGTCGCCGACTGCCGCCGGAGATGGACTGCGCCCCCCTTGTAGGTGCGAGTGGTCCGCCTCTTGCGGCTCCAGCACTTCCGTGGGCGCGGCATTGCCTTCCGCTTCAAAAATATCAGCCCGGCGAACTAGGTGGTCGGCCTGCCAGTAGTTCGCGGGTATGTGCATACTTTGGTCCGAAACTGGACAACGGCTCGTGGGCAGACGTGCAACAAGACTGTCCAAACAAGGGGAATGAAACTGCCCACACAAAGGTGAATGAAAGAATCACGACAAAAATACAATACAACAAGCAAAGGACAAAAAAACTCTTGTCCTCTCGCATAGGATCACCCCCGAAAGAGAACAAGAATGTGTTGGGGTTCTCTACATGCTCGTGTTGGTTTCTGGTCTACAGTTGGACGAACGATCCGACAGAAAACGCGTAACAGGACCTACACAATACAGTAGTGCAGTAGAGCTTGAACAACCTGACAGGCCATCCGCCGCAAGACCCTACACTGTAGGTTTACCTCTCCATCCTCGTAGGCAACGTCGTAAGTCCCATCCCCCCTACACTTGGTGATAACCGCGGGCCGCCAAAGCTTCGCTGCTGGACCAGGAATACCCTTCTGGAGATGAGGGGAGGGGAGAGCAGACAGCCAGACAGGCGCCGTCACTTTCAGGTCGCCTGTGGCGAAATGGCCGTCTCCGTTGCCAACACGCGAGTGAGTGCCTGGCAATGGTTGGGCATCACAAGCACCTCGCGCACACAGTATGTGTTCCTCACCCTTTTCACGCACACGCTCTCGTCCAGGTGTAATATCCCGAGCCTTCTTCTCTTTCTGCTTCTCCTTCCCTCACGCAGTCGTTCCGCACTCTCCTGGTCGTCTTCTTCTGCATCCGAAGGGAAACACACCGCCGGCGAATTTGGCGACGACGGGTGTTGGGCGTTACGGGACTCGCTTGTCTCCTTCGAGGCCTGGACGCCAGCTTGCACCATCTGGTCCGCGCGCGAACGGGAGGCCTCGATCTGCCTCCCCTCGAGAAAAGGGAATGCCTCCTCGAAGATAGAGGGCTTTGATGCTCCCAACTGCTCTTGGCCCCACGACACGAGCGAGTCGATAAAGTCTTCGAGCCTGGACCACCAAGGGCACGAAAGATATCGCAAGAGATCAAACCGTAGCTTGCGTGACCTGCTGCTCGGCACTCCAAACCAGAGACAAGACGGACGGCCCAGAAAATTAACGGCGATGCACAACCAATGTTGCACGCCGTTTCCGACAATAATGACTGTACCTGTTGGAGTCCAGATAGCAGCACAATAACTTCCTAGCTGCTGACCGATCGCACGCTTCTCGGCATCGCGCGGCCAGCCCGCGAATTTCACGAGAGGTCTTGTCAACGCTTTCCCTGAGAACCGAAGAGCAGTTTACCATCAAGGCATGTCCAGTGTCCAGGAGAGGAGGCGTCGTCAGGTTCAAGAGCCCCATAAACGAAGCGGACATTGAACCAACCCGCGTGGATACGGCGAGCACAGAGATCCATTCATAGGTACACTGAACGTATTGATCGTGATATTCGTTTCCTCTGAATCACCCCTCACGCGTAAAAAATCATCCTGTCCAGCCGAGTTGCCGCAAACCGTACAACACGGAGGAGTCACCCCTTTCCGGGCACAGGCGCGTTCATACTGCTTGTGTCCAGGACAGATACAAGTACATCCTATCTGTCATGGTGTGCCCAATTTTGTGTCATCCTTGACTGGTTTGGAAAGCCGCTATCTTGTTATCTTATCACGTTTTCACCATAAATACCTCCAATACCTCCAGGATGTGAGGAGGCCCACCCTAGCCTGGCCTAGCCTGGTCGGTAGCAAAAGCTGTTTTGAGAGAATACCTTCTCCCAGGTTTACTCTATGTGGTAGTGCCCACTTCTAGTCCTGGATACAGCATGCATATATGTTGATCCAGGCCCCGTGTTTAAACGACAGGCTCTGCTTTTCCTTGTTTGGCCACTGCTCTTAGAATTTCTAATTGTTTTTTACGTGTTCTGGACAATAGTTTAACATGTTCTCGTGAGTGGTACTGTACTGTATTTTGGGGATAACCCGTGGCCACGGAAACTCATCTCTTGGCTGTCTTGAGTACGGGGGCAAGTGATACTGTCGGTACGATCTTCCCCTACAGCAAACAACACTACTGTAACAACAACAACAACAGCAACAACTAACCCAAATGCGGTGCTGCGGTCCTACCGTGCGAAATTCGGATGTTGTGTTTGACAAAACACACGTACGCGCAGACGCGGGGAGCTACTGTTTATCGCGCAGACTTGCAGACCTCGCAGATCCCTTGATGCCGAGCGCCCTCCAAGGGCCGGAGACGGTGCTTTGCAATCCCTCCTCGAGGAAATCAGCAATATGTTCTTGCGACCACTGACGCGGGGGCTTGCCAGATATACATTCGGACCGAAGGCGTGACAGCGACGCTTGCCGCGCAGTATTCTGAAAATGCGGGCAGGGTTGATCGCCACTTGAAAACAATTACTTGACTGCTAAAAACGTCGTTTGGACGAAGAGAATTTTCGAGCAAATCATGCGACATGCAAGGGTCTACTAGGCGATTTCGGCACAGAACTGTAGCCGTGTATGATCGCTTGGGAAGGTCTTTCATGTTATGGGGGAGTCAAAAACAAGAACGGTTGGACCCTTGACTACACCCACTTGTCCTCTCACAAGAAGGCTACCACTCGTTGCACACCGAAAGTTAAAAATCAGACGGCATCGAAAGGACGAAGGGGGGAGGAGTGGAGACCAGGTGTCCGATACAAAAACAGCGCTATTTTGAATTGAGTCCACCCCATCAGCTTAGTTAGCCCAAGGCTCCCACCTTTAGCGAACAAAAATGTAGGTTGAAAATGGAGCGTACGTTGCAGACGCCAGCCAGCAAAAAGGCAGTTGTGGTGGAACCAAAACACTCGGGTTCGGGCTGTGGTATCTAGTTAGCAACGACTGGGCTAAGTGGATCGCACGCTTTGCACGTGGATTGAAAAGTGGCACAGCCTACGATTGTACCTGCAGGAGCTTGAAGGACCCGTAGTCATCAACCCAGTCGCACGCCAGAACTGCGAGAACAGCTGGCGAGAACAGGCCGGCCTGTCCACTCCCCACGATACACATCACAACCGCGAGCCGTCCACTCTAACGCGGCACGGGACGTCACGCGCGAGAAAAGAGAGTTTGAGTTTCCTGCATGCGCATCGTTGGCGATAGAAACAAAGCCGCGGGATTGTCGGAATGGAAAAAAACCTCCAACGCCCGAGTGTCGTCGCAAGATAAGATACGTCGCGACCAGATGTCGTCCTACATATCGACATAACGACACTGCTTGCAGCAAACAGAATCACTCCGGCGGGGATCGAAATGAACTGCACTTGCACTTGTACCTTTGTCAGACATTGAAGTGGTTGTGCTGACAGAAGTGATGCCACCGTCGTGTTCAAGACATTTGTCCACCGAGATCTATCAAGGGGGTGAAGCAGGTTTGCCTGCCAAACAGTGAAAAGCTCCTCCAGCTCCTGCCTTCGCATCTGAAACTTTCACAACAGCAAAAGTGGTAGACCGTTGAAATGGGTGTCCGCGCATCAAATACGGGAGAGAGACGAGATTGACCAAGCTTCGAGAAAGTTCAACCATGTTTATTGTACCGGAGTTCGGCAAGCCAACTACCGTAGTAGCTCATGCACAGGTAGAACTGAGGCTAATGGTATTCTGGGGGGAAAAGAAGAGTATGACGGTCCCGCGCAGACTACGGGGGTGGTTATTCCTAGCGGAAGCAAAGAACATTGTGTATTTGCGGCAGTGGGTTCTCCGCGGCCTTGTTTATAAAGTGTTTAATGGGCAATTGAAGACAGGTCTCAGTTGAGATGCAACATCGTCGCTTTTTGGTCAAATGGAGTGCGCGCTCGCTTGTGAGTTTCCCCGACACTTCACGTCAAGGGGAACGTACCAAAACAAGTGTTGCTTTATGTCCGATTGGTTGACTTGCATCAGCTGGCCTCACTGGTATATTTCAGTGAATAGGCTTACCGACCCCCAAAAAGGCCAGTATCCATCCGGTTTTCTTCCATGCACTTCGGTAAAGACTTCAACACATCCCCTTCAACTGCTGTGGTTATATCTCGAACAGGTGTCTTTCTGTGTTCGTACAGTGACGGAGAAGTACATTTTTTCTATACTTGCACCTGGAATTCCGCGACAAGCACCCACGCATAACAAAATCAAAGCGTCTACATGCTCGGCATATCCTATTCCTTACGCGTACGAACAGTTGCAGTCATTCTACCTCCACACAAGATCAACTCGTTGCGGCGGGTGTCACCGAACCACCCGTCATGAAAAAAACTGCACTTCATTCCGGCCCTCGTCGGTCATCATTCCGGGATGTGAGCATATTCGTCAAGTTTTTCTGAAAAATGAAACAACGCAACCCCAACAGGCCAGCAGGCATGCGAGATACGTTCGTACGTTTTCTTTTGACAGCCTGAAAAGAGCCAGAGAGAGGGGTGGCGGGTGGGTGCATTTTATGACGAAGAAGTGAACCCATTCCAAAAATGCAAAAATACCCTCGTGCCTAATGGTGGTGCTTATTTTTCGTATTCTACCACTGGTCACTCGGAAATGAACTTGTACAGACTTTTAGGAGACTAGACTTCTCATGAGGACACGACGCGCGCACCAGGGTTCTAGTTTTGATAGATGGGTAAAGTAACTTCTTCTGCCATTACAATATTAGTAGGCGCCCCAAAGACGCCTGCTGGTATGCATAATAAGAAACGACAATTTCGGTTTCAAATAAGGTAGGTAGCCTGGCTGAATTACTCTTTTCCTTTCCCCCATTAACAAGCACAGGCTACAAACTACTTCTAGGATTTACTCTTAGAGTCACCCATCGTTCCACGAGAGCACAGCATATTATCAAAAATAGCAAAATAGGCACTATTTCTTGTTTTTCGTGACAAATTTTGAAATTTCGAATCATCGGCCTGCTGGGAATGTGAGTACTAGTATCAGTTACCGAGGGTGCCTACAGTAGTACAGCAGAACCAACGCGTGCTCGGACCGATTGCCAACCATTCCCCATTGCCCGGCCTGTTACAAAAGAGTATTGCGAACAACGCGTGTTCGCTGAGATGACCGATATTCACCATTTAGGAGCAGCACTGGATGCAGCATGCAAGCAAACAAACATGATTATTGCTACAGGCCAGGTGCGGTGTACTCTATGCAGTAGTGATGTAAGTGGTGCACTACAAAATTATGATATGGAATATTTTCAAACACCGATCGAACCTCTGTGGAAAGACAGGCGCCTCCTTCCGTGACGTGCGCGGTGTAGAGGGCCGATGCACAAGCCACTCTCTTGTGCAAGTTATTCTTCCATTTGCTCTGGCTGGGGAACCCGCAGACTATAGTTTAACGTTTCTACCATCTGGTCTCCTTCTGTCGTTGATTGGCCAGACGGAGCAGCAGACCTTTCGCCGTGAAAACAAAAAAAAACACACACACACGACGCGCGTACTCCGAGCAGCTCCGTCTCTCTTGCTACCGTCTTTCAGTCTTTGTGGGCTTTCTGACACACTTTTTTCTCGCGTGGGCTTGAGTGTGTGACCATGCGGGTGCTGCTGCCTGACGGCGAGGAAAAAGGGAATAACCCCTCTTTCGCTCCTGTTGCGACAGCAACACCCGGAAATGACGACGACGCGGCGGGTTTAGGACCTTCGCCTCAACAACACCTCCCAGTCTCTCCTCGCGCTGACCTACCCCCCCAACCGCACCCAAGAGCTCCATCAAGAGAGGCGACAGCAGACGTCCTTCGTCGCAGAACGAACGGTAAGCAACGCCCCACTACCGTGGCAGAACCGTCGAAGGATAATATCGCCTTGGAGGGGAATGTGGATGATGGGCGTGACGTGTCGACAGCAAATGCCGCTCAAGGCTTCCGGCCGGCGGCAAGGACCTCTGCCTGTGATGCCGCGTGAGTTTGATGCGTTGAAACGTGGAGAGAGTGGACAAGTGCGAAGATGCATGTGGTTGTCCTGCTGTAGAAAGAGTTGGACGATCGTTGAGGTGACCTCTCCCATATGAGATGATGTTCAAAACTCAACACGATTCTCTTTTTCGTTCTCTCTTTCTCCTATTTACACTGTTGTGAGTGTACCTTGTACTCCATTATTTTATTGAGAGGGAGCGTAGGCGGGCAAACTCGCGCGTTTTAGAGTGTACCACTATTTAACTGGTTGCTCGGTGCTCTTACATACCGTATGTTTTTTTTTTTGTATCTCTCGGTCCCGCAACCTATACCAATAAGTGATGTAGCATACCGGGTCAAATACAGTACCAGGAGCATTCCATGTATCATTCCATTTTCGTGTGAGCGTCGGCCCACGTGCAACCAACCCATGCCTCTCGAGCAAAGCAGTACACCTGAAGTCACACATTCGGCACCCTCAATCCCTCGTTCCCTCCTCCATCCGACGGCGTCTCTATGCAAACTTTGACCCTCGAACCAGTTGAGCGAAGCATATATATATGCATGTGCGTATATATGTGCACCACTCACTTGGTGCCGTGTGAATCGCGTGTGGAACCGTTCTGTACGTGATTCTCGGCTGTGTTGCCTGTTCTGGCAGTTGTCGAGCGGTACAAGTTTTTCCCCGAACTCCTGTTGTTCATTAACGTACCGATCTCTGATGTACCAACGGAGTCCTTGCCAAGGAGAGATTCGCAATCCTCGACTTAGTGCATGCGGCTTGGATCCGGCCGATGTCCTACTGGTAGCCACAACTTGTACTTGTAATCCGGGCCATGACAGAGATGTGGGGTCCTAAAACGGAAGTGTACCTTATGCAAGGGTGCAAGACTGCTATGCGAACAAAGCGTGGCGGATAGATGAAGCAGTTACGAACCTGATTTTCAGATATGAAGTGAACGCAGGACGTGGTGTGTCCGAACTGCATGCAGTCGCTCGCGTGTGGGGTGGGAACCGCCCTGGAGTGTCGAGTTTTGAGAACTACTGTAGCGTCCAGAGTACGATCGGGGTTAGTATTTTTTCTGTGACAACCTGTTGCTCACTGCAGTACGGCATGTTTTTTGCGGTCGATGCGCCTTCCTGTCCACACCAGGGCTGGCTTCTCGCCCTCAGGAGCCGGCGGCGCTGGGGGCGCGAGTGGATCGAGGATAGAGCCCAGAGGTGGACTCTCGCAGGAGGCCGCCGCTGTTGCTGCTGAAAACGACATCGAGAGCGCGTTCGAGGTGACCCCATGGAAACATAATTGAAAGAAAATAGGCGATGCATATCTGGTACAACTACTATTGCACCTACTATTACGCCTTGTTTATGCTGGTGTCCATGTCGATGATATTTCGGAAAGACGAGTATGCAGTACTGTATGCAACCACATGTTGTACTTGCCGTTGCTGTCGGTACGAATGCCTCTAACGCGCACAGGAGAATAAATGAGAACAGGGTAGGATGCCCCCACTGCTGCTGTGTGAACGAAACGTACGGAACGATTTATACACATGCAGAGAGACTGCCGCTAGGTTTGACATCGGAAGCCATTGATAGGAACGTATGCTATGCTATAGCAGGTCGAATCAATCATTACACGGCGGGTCTCGCACGTGCTTGAGTCTGTCCCTCATTGATTGTGTTGACATGGGGTTCATTCCCTGAGCCCACCCCCACTCCTGCAAAGACATCACTGCCAACGTAGAGAAATTTTTGTGTTGGATGCGCGGACCGCCGGATTGACGAACCTTGCGTTCTACCCGCGCGCAGGGCGCCGGATTTCGGCAGTTCTTTCCCTCGTTTTTCCAATATTTCACCGCAAGTCGCATTTTCTATCTACCTGGCGGCTTTCCTCTCTGTCTAGAGAGCAATCCGGGGTCATGAACGTTTTTACCCGCTTTTTGGAGCCTGAGACGAAGCCGCAAGGCTACCGGTTTGTCCTTCCGTTGAAAGACAAAGACATACATACGACTTTGCGAATAATTCTGGAGATTGAAATTGAATATCTCAACCTCATTCGTACACCATCGATCACCGACCGGTCTCTTTGAACTGGCAGCAGCCGTGCCACTTGCAACACAAGGTCAGTGTTGACGCTGGCGTCACTACGTGTTTGGCTGTATTTCCACCTCCGGCTTGGTTGTCGTGTCAAATCACAGGCTGAGCTTAAGGCAAAGGGTTGGCAATTGCGAAGACAGGAAGGCGATGGAAACTGTCTATTCCGAGCTATCAGTCAGCAGATTTATGGAGACCCAGGCATGCATGGCGATATCCGTCGCCAATGCCTAGACTTCATGCGCAAGGTATGGGAGCGAAGACTGAAGACGAGTTGGAAATGCGTTTTGGCTGGTTGTAGGATGAAGTCCGTGACGTACGAGTTTTCCTACCGCCTCGATCAATTTAGACTTTTTTCTTTTTGTACATGTGTTTATCTTGTACTGGTATGCTAATTAGAGAAAAGTGCCGAAACGCAACAGGTCAAACTGGAGGGGGTGGGCTAGGTAAGGCCACATTCCGCCATATTGACAAACGTCTGGTTTCGTACCTAGAGATCAGACTGTTTACACATGTTTTTTGTTCCTTCTTTTTGGTTCGCTGAGGTTCGCTGGGCTCTTCGAGTCTAAACACGTCAGCTGTGAGAGCTGTTGACCTAGGGAAACGTTACAAGTGGCATCTGGCAGCCACCTGTGGGCGGTTCTGCTGCCTGCTTTTATTTTCACCTTGCATCACCCCTGGATGACAGTGCTGTGCTCTCTTTTGAGCCTTCTCCGCAGGGATCACGTGTATGCTTGTGAACGAACGTGTGATATGTACTGATGTATAGTGCATCCTCCCACAAGCCGCTCCTTTTATTTCCTTTTCCCAGGAGCGAGACCACTACTCCCAGTTTGTGTCGGAGGCATTTGACAGCTACGTCAGCCGCAAGGAAAAAGACGGCGTGCACGGGAATAACCCCGAGATGCAGGCTGCCAGCGAGCTGTTCAATCGCCCTATCGAGGTCTACGTGCCGGAGAAAGGAAGTGAGCAAGACTCAACTTGTCGCATTGCATGATACATAAGAGGCACTCGACTACTTGGGCTATGTGTGGGCTACAGGATTGGCCGACAGTACGCGCTTAAGGGTTGCATGGTTGGCCTGGTTGTGTTATTTCCATCGCATGCCAGCTGTAGGTGATTCTTGCCCGTTCCATCTGCTCTCTGTCCCTGCCAATTTTTCGCTGGACTTGTGTATGAGGAATCCGTAACGGGGCGAGCTACACTACCGCGGAGTACCGATAGGGTGAGTTTTATTTGTTTTCCTTTCGCTGCCCCTTTCGTTGTTCGTTTCTGCAGCTGCTCCGATCAATATCTTCCACGGAGGATACCGTTCGGGCAATGCTCCCATCCGAGTCAGCTACCACGGAGGAAACCACTACAATGCAATCGTAGACCCTGAGGAAGCCAGCGTTGGACAGGTACGACATGACCACTACATGTAGATCGAACTCATTATGTTCTGCAGCAGCGCGCAAGGTGGCAAGGTCTGTTGATTGCCAAGTTTCAAGCTCGCCGTCGCCAAAAGCAGCCTGTGTGGCCGCATTTCGCGACGAGCATATCCAACACAGGATCATCGCCGATCTGATCCTTTGTGAAGTTGTGCAACAAAGTATTGTCGGGAGTTGGTTTTCCGATACAGCGCTGGCATGATATCGAAGCATCGTGCCACCTGTAACCTCCTGTTGCATGAAAAACTCCAAGACCCCCTTCATATCTGACTTGACACCAAACCTCCCCGTATACATACTTCGGAACGTCCTGTTTACAGGGCCTGGGGATTCCTGGCCTGTCCAAAGAAGCTGCGGAAAAGGAATCTCTCAAGCGCGCGTTGGCAGAATCCTGCTCGTCCGCTCACCACGTTTTTCCTGGCGCATCGCCGACGTTCTTCAAAGGAGGGCGGGGAATGCATGGTTCATTTGGGGAGGGCTTCGGGGAGTCTGACGTGAGAGCTACTGAAGAAGAACTGGAGCAGGCGGTGAGAGTGGGCATGCTCGGGTTTTTGTGTGTTTATGAGTGAGCGATTTCGCTCGATGGGGTTGTTCTTGTTTCATGTCATGCCGACTATTTACGACAGTATCTTTTGCTCTACCCCTGTCTAGAGAACAACGTTGCAATACACATTCCCGCTTTTTCTGTGATAGACATGGTCTTCGCATTTTTTCCGTCGTTGGTGGGAATGGGCAACTACTGCTGTATGCCTTCTCCTCGTCCTGCACTGCCAGTGGGCGACCATATCGCACTAGTGTTGGACAGTTGACAGGACGAGCTCTCCCGTTTTACGTTGTGCTTGGTGCTTGATGAAATTATGTTCTAGGTACGTATGCATATGTGTGTACTTGCATGCCATTGGTAAGTACCAGTCTCGTGCATGTATGCGTACCCGTTTCCGTGACCAACCGCTCCTCTCGCCTTCGTGCAACAGGCCATAACGGCTTCTCTCTCCGACTTTCGCGGCACAACCAGTGGCGGCGGGAGCAGCAACAACGGCAAGAGCGACGGTGCCGCCTTTTCCGTCCCTCGGCGGGGAGGCAGGGGTAGCGGTGGGAGATTTATTGGACGCGGAGCAGCCAGCAGGGTTTCGGGAGGTCGCGAAGAACGGAGGGGGGGGGGTGCCGCTGCATGGGCGAGTGGTGCTGGGTCGCCGGCGGGTAGGGTGGAGCGTGGGGGGTGGATGAGCAGTGGCGGAGGAGCAGCAGAAGGAGAAGGCAGCGGAAAGTCTCGAAAGCGCCGAAGGCCTGGAAGCCCGCCTGGCGAAGGTTCGGTAAGTGTTCGGTGCCCCCCCTGCGTTGATAAGTTGAGCTCTTGCTTGCATATGAAAGACATTACCCGCTGTACAGACTAATCAAGGAATGTTTAGATCGATGCTCTTTTCAAGTAATGGACAGCGTTGTCAAAAAGTGGGTGTGGGCTCACATGTGCTTGCATACACTGTAGTGACAGAAAGGTTTCATACTTTTAGGATTTTCTAGCGTCTCCACACCCTCGGTTGTTTTGCAACACGTTGGTATCAATTTCAACGAAACTTGTGCTCTTGAAATTGACCACCGCTTGCTCCCCCTCCTATGTTTATGCGAACGATTCCTCAGCGAAAAGCATCACCGAACTCAGCTGATGGCTCTACAAGCAGCGCCGTGAGAGAGATGGTATGGTCCTACGGCTTCCCACTGGCAAGAGTTATTGCAGCCCATGACCTCGTGGGCGAGAGCGTTGAAGATATGCTCGTTTTGCTCACATCGGATGCTTTTCAGCCGCCAGAAAATGGCGACCGGCGATAGATGGCTGCCCGTTTCGCCCACTCATATTTCGCGCGGAGGAAGTAGCATGATCAGGAATGTACACCGTGAGACGCACACCAGTAGAATATTCGAGTGGTGGACATTTTGTTGATATTTGCGGGACGAAATATTCTGCTTTCCATAGGTTTAGAGCTGCTGTTGTTGATGTTTGTGTGGTTCTCGTGTGACGGGGTGACAGTTGTGATGGAACATATCGTTTGTTTGGAACGGGGCAAGACACTGTTTTCGGGAAAGGTTTGCCCTCGCGTGAGTGACGGGTGAAGAGTCTGTCGAGTGCCCGCCCACCTTGCGATCGTGCTTTGTCGCATCCACTATAGCTAAGGCTATGTGTTCCCTGTTTTCCATGATTGTATATACGCCGTGGGGCTAATAGAGTTCTTGCTTGCCAAGTCCGATCGTTGGAGGGCTGGTCGGTTTCATGGCGAAAGGCACGCCGGGTTTTTGAACCCAACTAAATGTGCTTTTCCGCGGAGCAACTGCTGTTTCCTCATCTGGTGTTCCGTCATCGAAAAGACTACAAAACTAAACAAGGCACCAGAGAAACCACGTGGCTTCACCTACATGTAGCCTTGTAGCTGCGACATCGTGCTCGCGCCCCACGTATGTATTCTGAAGCCTCCTAAGGGTGTGTCTACTGTTTTCGATTGCAGACCGATCACTTGCGTGCAGAAATATCGCAAACACACAAGGACACACAGCACAGTACTCTCCTCCGTGCTGAGACATTCTTGCCTCGGTAATTGTGTGTGTGCCATCGCGGTCTGCGCACTACGCATGTTAGAGTTTGAAGCACTTGAAGACAGGCCAGATTTCAACGAGACAAGAAGAAGAGCAGAAAAGAGTCGGTGTCTTTTTTTTTGTCCATGGTGGATAGGTCGATCAAATGTGAAACCGGTTCGAACTGCGTACGATTGATTGAACCAGACTATTAGTCGAATGGGAGGGGAGCGACCTGATACAGGACAGGGGGAGACGCGTCATCAACTTGTATTTATTCCGTGTATAGATCAAACGTTTTCGTGGGCTTGCGCCCCCACCACACTCGCACAGTTTTGTCTCCTCGTCCCCTAAATATTGCTGTTCCCAAACTCTAAACTACATGGAGTACCGCCGTGCTTCTTCTCGACGTATGTATAGACTATACAAGGTGGAAGCGATTTTTTTTCATCATCCATGAGTGAGCGAGAGTCTTGTTGCAAACCACCCCGAAAATATCTGCCCGTCATGCCGATGAAATGATCAAATTTGGACGCGTTGGAGGATTTGACCCCCTCTGTACACACGACGTACACCACAAACAAACACCCAACATCTGTCGGTGTGTATGTGTGTACATACATGCATACGTCTGCTGTAGAAAACATGTGATGTGACAGGTAAATAAAGTGGAAAGTGAAGTTGAAGATAGACGGATTGTTTTGTTGTGTGACTGATGGTCTTTGATGATTGAGGGACGGAGAGGAATGAGATGAGAGGCGATTCGATTTGCAAGTATGGATCCGCACGGGACAACGGCCGGCCGTTTCATGCATCCGGTCGATTTTTTTCCACGACAGCAGTTAATCGTAGTATGCATACAGCTGCAGAGAGAGCAACACAATACTACAGTAGTCTTGTTAACTTCAACGAGGGAATCCTGGCTCTTCAAAGAGGGGTTGCCTGTTCACGAACTGCCTTGCTGTGAGCGACTGTGAGACTGTGAGAGAATTTTCTCTGCGGACAGCAGCAAGCAAATTTGATTCTTTCCAAGAGAAACGTTCAAAGGCTGTTTTATATTCGTTGGGTGAAAAGATGGATGGATATCTGTTGAAACAACATCTCATCTCATCTCCCGTAAAGTACACACGTCGACACCACAACCGATCACATCTATCTCAGCAAGATGGAGGGAAAAGCATGGACTTGCGACAGCCTGACCATCTCGTATGCATCTCCCAGAGGGACCAATCGGTGCCGGTCGTGCAAGCTTCACATGGAGTCGGGCGCGATTCGTTTCGGGGTATGTATGTATGAATAAATAAATTGGAACATGTTTGCGATGTTTCACACGTTACACGAGCACGTCTTGTAGATCAGACCCTCAAACCCTTGGGGGACAAATGTGTCCCACGACCACCATGACCATTTGCAGAGCCGGGGTGTTCGTGCTTGGCGCACAGAGAGGTAGGTAGGTATTGTAGGTCAAAGTGCGTGCTGTCAAGAATCCGAACCAAAACAAATTTTGAGCTGCGTGGGGTTACAAAAAAAAGCACCCGTGTTGGCGGTCTCCGTACAAAATCGTCAGCTTTCCTCTCAGCAGGACGTACAGAGAATAAATACACTCCCTCCTAATATGTCCAAAGTAGACAACATGTTTCCAAAGGAAGGGGAGTCACTGAACCTTCTCACGATGACGCTAAAGGCATGGACGACAGATGCGTTCTTCTGTGTGATCCTGAATCATGGAACCCAAGCATCTAAGGCACGAGAAGCGAGAGTGCCAGAGTTTCGGTGTGGTATGCATATGTATCTGTAGACTGCTGCAGATGGCAAGACCACAAACCTCAAGACCACAAACCTCCCACACGGCCACAAGTCTGAGGCAAAAAGATATTTCATTGCCCACAGAGGTATGCATACCGATGCCATGTGCTCTGGGCTCTAGAAACGGTGAACACCACCCGGTCCCCAAGGCAGGAGCTCTCTATTCCAAGCTTACTGTTCTTGTTGTGCTCCTGCCCTCCCCGCTCTTGTTCAAATTTCATGCGGTATTAACAGCAAGAGCCAGTAATATTGAGCAGTACCTGGTATGCTATTTGTAGTTTCTTCTTGTCCCTCTTGCGTGACCACCAAGGAAGGCGTCACGGCACAGCAGGAGCAGTAGAGCATACCCCAGATGCACCTACTCAAACCAATATTCTGGCTGGGTCGTCCATCGTAAAGCGAGGCCTGCTCAATTAAAAAAATATATGCACACGAAGGTATGTAGTTGATGTAAATACAGCCTCAACGAATAGAAAATGGCCTTGCTCTAGACTGCCTGTCTGTGTGGGTGTACTGGTACAGAAATACTGCTGTTACGTAGTCTACCCTTCACAGTCGTTACAATACCTTTGCTGCACTCTTCTCGAGAGCATCGCCGCGATGATCAGCAGATGTCGATTGGCTGCGATCGTTGGACACCGAAAACGTCCAACGCAAACATTACGGTTCCGCAATCCTGCGCGGGGCCTTTTTGCGTTCGCGAACGTCGATCGGCCGCTCCTTTCTCTCCCACTGCTGTACTCAAAAATGAAAGAGGTAAATTTATCGAATGTTTTGTCGAAGATATTTGGGGTTATACGCTCTATTAGTAGTCGAAGTTCAGCTGAGTGTAAATATATTTACTTGGGTGGTTCCGATGAAAGGCCCGTGTGTGATACGGCAGTGTTTGTGTTGTACCATACAACCCAGCGTTTAGGGGCACGAGAGGCTGCATCGCACCATGGAGATACATTGAATTGGTGCTTTCTTAGACAGCTGCATGTACCCCGTCGCGCCTAGAGGCCATGCTCTACTTCGCCTTCGTTGCGGCGGCCTTTTTACGTTTGTAGCTGGCGGAAGATGTGAACCTGTTGCCTTCTTCCTATTATCGTGTCAACGGTGTGGCCAAAACGCTTTTCGGTTCTGTAATTGTCACGACATAGTTACGTTGCCATCTTTCCTTCGCCTTTGTTTCGGCACCCTTTTCATGTTGTGAGTTTGCGGATGAAGTAAACCTGTTGCCTTGTTTCTATTATCAAGCCAACCGTGTGGCCGAAACGCTCCGTTTCTGTAATGGTCACGATATTGTTTCGTTGCCACCGTACCTACTTCTTTCTCTTATCGAATCAACGGTGTGGCCACAACCCTTTCCCGGGTATGGAATTGTCACAACATCTGCATGTTGATGTACTGTAGTTACGTTGCTCGCAAGTCACTATGACCTTCCTTCCCCCCTTGTATCCCCCCCCCACACTGGTGGTGGAGTAGATTCTGCTGTGCGAGGTCGAGAACCCTCACTCCGCGTAAACGGTGATAATCGCACGACGTTGTGTTAAATTGGTCATGCACCCTCGAGGCCGTTACACCGCAGTGCTCATGACTGTCTCTGGAAGAGAAGCACCAGAAAATAAGTAAGTCATTGGCAGCTGTTATCCGTACGCTAGGAAGTAAGCACAAGATGCCGAACACCCTTAGCAGGATGCAGCGCATCCGCCATGCGACCCGCCGAATACCTCACGGCGCCTCGCACTTGGTGATGTGAGAGCCTGGTCCGGTGACAACCCGGCGTGTGCTCCGTCCCGGCTTTGTAAGGGTGCGAGGTGAATGGTCTATAACGACTACGGCATCCACGACTATGAGCACACACACACCCTCCCCCCTCTGCCCCCCGGCCCACACTGGGCAATGCCTTGATGTACACTAGGTGTCGCGCTCATTCCCGTTCCTCTGATTTCCACATCATCTCAACCTTCCTCTACTGTAGTTTCTAATCGCGTGCGCTTTATCGCTTCTTTTTTTTTTGCAGATGATCTTCAAATGCCCGTCGATGTCCACCATGCTCTTCCAAGGGTTTCACTTGCACTGCGTTCAAGCCCCGAGTTTCCTGACATCCATAGAACTTCTTGAAGGAATCGAAGACATATCGCCGTCGGACGTCGAGGTCATCGAGCGGTGGATAGAAACGGGAGTGGCTCGTGGAATGGTAAGTTGCATGAAGTTGCCCACCCGCGCTGTACATATAGACATATACGTATGCGAGGGTGGGCGAGGAACGCCGGACCTGTCAACAACCCGTGTACTACTGCTGCATGTGAACTACAGTATGTAGAAGTACGAGGCAAGGCGTGGTCTTCGTATGTAGTATAGCATAGTACGCATACATTTCCAATACAGTACTGGTATACCTCCGCTGTGTTGTTCGTCTTGTGGAGGCAAAACCTATGAAGTTGTCTATATCTGAGATGTTGAACTTGCCCCCGCCAGCGAGATTATTCATAGCACTACTGTACTCATTGCGCTGATGAATGGCCCGGCGGGCGGTTATTCTCCTTTTGGCGCAGGAGGGATGCACGGCTGCGGCACACAGCCACCAACGACGGAAAACGGCATGACTCGGGTCTTCGTCTCATGCACGCGGAGATCGGAGACAGTGAAGCCTTTGCTCTGTGCGTGTATAATCGTACTGCTGGTGTATTGATTGATGTGTATTTTTTGGTGATGGGAATGATGCTCTACATACAATACTTTTGAATTGTTTTTTGTCACGTTTTAACATCTATCTTGTGCCTCCCGGTTGACCCTGGATTGTCCCAACCAGGTTACTTGTTTGAGGTTGTGAATTTTGTGTGCGAATTTTTAGATACAATCATGTTTTGGGTCTCGCTTTTTACTTGGGATTTCGATTTCCCCTCCTCCCCGCGTGCGCTCGATCTGGTCGTCGGTGGATGTGTCGCATTGCTTTGTTGAATCCGGGTGTTGGCGTGCGTGGCGTCCACGTGTTCACCTGTTTGGTGGGAAGGAACTAGGAACCGCTGTACTTGTATCATAGCAGTAGACAAGCGGTTTGCTCCCCGCTGGGTGCTTGTTCATCAACAGACGGAATTCTTGGGATAGTGCGTGTGTTAGGCTGTGTATGTCATGTGTGTGTGGTGGTTGGTAGAACCGTGGTTAGGTTTTATGGTTGACCCAAGCGAGAAGGACAACAAACAGCGGCTGGAGCTTGCGTCACGCTAATTTTACGTACATGATTCTGCTCGGTTCATGTCTTGTCAACAATAAATAGGATTAGGACTTTTAGTGTGTCCCACGTTTTGCGAGTTGAGATTCATGAGTCCTCGTCTGTAGAAGGTACGGCGGGGATTTAGACGAAGGATCACTTGACACGAACAAATGCAAGGTTTTGGCAAAATAATTGACTCGATCGTTTCTACGGTCCATCACTGTTGCTGTACTCCTGCTATCCGCGCAAGCCGATAGCGGTTTCTTGTGAATCTCGCTCTCACAATGGGCCAGAAATCTCTGGGTACCAAGATTACACACCACGGTGGTCCCATTACGCTCGCCACAAGTGCAGCAGGTACATATGTTTGCATTCGTGCCATCCACTTGTACTGTATCTAGACGTCAAGGTCCGCCACACGTCTCGGTATATTTTCTGGTCGTACGAGCCGGAATCACACAAGATTCTCCGTCTGCGGTCAAGCCAAGAGATGTTCAGCAATACTTTCAACCGTGGACAGCTGAGGTGTTTCTAGTATTGCATCTACAACACCAACACGGTGTACGAACGCACGAGCGCTCTCGACACACATCGGTCATGGCCGGGTTTGGATCATCTCCACCATGAAACTTTCTTCAGAGAATGCAGCAGTACCACGTTTCAAGCACGGGGAAGTTGTACAATCGGTATTCTTGGTAACATACCGTGCCATGTACGAACAGGGCAGTCCTTTGGAAACAACGTTGGGGACATTGCACAGAACGGGGTAAAACCTTCTGAACCATGGGCTGATTCCATTCAGGTGTTCCCAGCGAAAGACTGAATGATTGGTGAGTGTCCTACCCCCCTAAAAACTGACAGCTGCTTTGACGGCCACTTACACTCTCTGCTAGTTACCTCTAGATGCCAAGAACGAACACAGGGAGCCTTGCATAGCAACTCCACAACGGTTCCCCTTCAACCACAATTCGCGCCGAACGGTCAATCCCAACACTCATCGTTCTGCTATGATATCGCATCACTTTTCTGTCTTTAACACCTTGCGTTAAAATCCTCTCGTTCGTAGCTAAATCTGGGCATCAAAGGCCCTCCATTGCTTGCGAGGCAACGCTGGCAATGGCTTGTTCTGATGCCTTGGGGATGTAATGGTACCGACCGCCTGCCGCAGCCGCGATCTCCTTCGCCATACCCGTCGACACGAATTTGTTTTCTGTGTCCAGCATAACCTGCCAGAAAACGGACACCAATACGACAAAATCGGAATCAGGCAGGCATGCGTACATACTCCGGAGTAGTGTAGGAGTAGTTCTTTGCGGCCCGTAGAATATCCCAAGCAATCGTTATAGCACCAGGCTTGCACAAAGACGTGGAACGATGCGACGAGTCACGATTTCTTCAGAAATCAACAAAAATTACCAAAAGACAGGGCAAGGTCATATTTTGGAAACTACGCTCACCAGGTTGAAGCCGCCCAAGCCAACGAGCCCCTTTGACACCTTTATCACCTCATCCTTCAGCTCTTCTCGCGTGGGCTTGTTGTCAGGGTCCATCTGGCAGCAGAAATAAAGCCCACGGCAGACGATCATCAGGACCAAAACAGGAATGCAAAAATCGCATCGTTTCTCTGAAAAACATGTGACCCGAGGCCTCCAACCAACACATTCCCAATCCTCTGAAACAAGTGCCGTGGCCATACCTCATGCCGCTCTGGTAGCCACTAAATTTTGCACGCGACTGCTCTGCGCAGCAACTCACCGGCTCCCCGTTGCTGACAGAAAGAGGCACGTTCGCCCGCCCGTCGCTGATACACACCATGATCACCTGGTTCAGTTGAGCAAACATCATACATGAGAGTAAGCAAGGGTTTGCCCCTCGTTTAGGCGGTCTCTCGCACTCTGAATAACGACAAATAACTCACGTTATGTATTCACGATAAAATGCATGGGGACACGACTGGATGCAACCCCCGGGCACGGGTAAGTACGCCGGTGTGCTGTGGGTGTTTCCACATTTGGCATAACATAAATATCATCATCCCGTTCCGTGCACGCACCTTCCCCACGTCTCCACTCTTCTGAGCATTGATGCCTGTTCGTACAGCAACATTGAGGGCATGCGCCAACGGCGACCCTCCCCCACACGGCATCGTCTCCAGACGTCTCCTGGCCATGGCGATAGACTTGGTTGGAGGAAGGAGGACCTCTGCCTTGTCTCCCTGTTCGTCGTAAGAAGCACAAGCACGAGCACAAATTCCGAGCGCATGCGAGCACACAGTATTAAATAGTGTTTTCGCTGTCTCATTATTATTATGGGGTTGCCCTTGACGCTGTTTGCGGCAACGGCCGGCACATCCCATTCCTCGTGCCTTTGCTTACATGCATGCACGCAGTTGTGCGGCAACAGCACTAAAACACGCATTATCTCCTCCCGAGCGGGTTTGTGAGTAGGGAGGACGCGGTAACCGTTTCATATCACCGCCACTTGTTTAAACCTCGAAGTATTTCATTAAATGTAATGACGACAACAACAATGGTGGTGCGTCCCGTAAGTCAAAGTTGAACACAACTCCCCAACTCTGTAGTGTAGAGAAGACGTGGAATCAACCAGGTCACGCGTGGCGTCTGTGTGTCGGTAGGTCACGATGCATCCGACAGACGTTTTCGGACGGCTCTACTGATTGCTCCATTGACACGCGATTTGCAAACAGCCTTCATCCTCACCTGGAAAGGAATGATGCAGATCTTGTCACGTGACTGGTAAGCTTCCTGCAGAAGCGACATGGCCGCCCCCTTTGCCGCATTCATCCGGTTCAAGGCCATCGATCCGGAAGCGTCGACGATGAAGATGATCAGCGACCCCGCCTTCCGTGCCATGCGCTTGGCGCGCACATCCGAGCCTTCAATGAAAACTCCTCGCGTTTCCCTCTCGGTGCCCTACCAAGAAACAAATGAAGTTTGTTTCGACGGTTGGAGAACCACCATACAGAATCTCTCTACTTGCAATGCTGATGAGACTCAAAGTAGTGCTCTCAACCATGTGACCCAAAGAGAGCGCATCATTAAGACCTAAACAGGACACGTCTCACAGGAGGTTTCGCACCACCACAAGAGAAGTGAACCAACTGCGGAACAAGTCAACCTTTCCCAGAAATGTACCTCGAACACTCGTAATAAATACTCACAGCGGCCCGTTTGCGACGCGGTCGCTGGTAAGGAGCAGCTGCTCGCATGGTCGCATCCACTGCCAGGCGTGTAACCTGTGTACGAGAAGGCAGTCAAAACAACCTCAGCGCAGTGAACGCGTGACGTTCTTCATGCAACGAACGTGTCAACCAACGTGACAACACCACACAAAATAACTGGAGATCGCGGTGAAATGGGGCACCTGGGCACTCGACCAGACCTCTCCGGTTCATCGATGGGCCTTGCCCCGTTGGATTTGACGACGGACGTAAACAATAGGATTGCGTCCCATTCTTGCAAATTGTAGACACCAACTTAAGCCCTATTTAGTAGGTGCAATCATCGTGGGTCTCAAAATAAGCCCCGACACCCCGGTCATTCCAATTCTGCTGCATCAGACAATAGTGACGTCTCCCTCACCTTGCCACGTGGAATCATGGGCTTAATGTACCGTCCGCGCTCCTGCGAGTAAATGAGGCCACGGCCACCTGACTTGCCCAAGTTGTTCTTGCCGGTAAAATCCAACAGCTCAGGATCGATGGGCGTGGAGTCGATGTCGAACATGAACTCCTGAATGGCAAGGCGAGCAAAAACCGCAGAGCTGGCAAATGAGAGGCTGGACAACCCAACACTTGCATGAATCGCGCTTTGGGTGGGCGCAGCTATCCACTTACACATCAACTCGACGCCTCGCCCGCAAATGGCGCACCGGATAACGCTAGAACAGAACAACGGAACTGACTGTTTCAACTAACTGACTGTTTCCCTCTGATGAATATGGTGTAACATAACACCGTTGGGTGTTACAAATAGGCAGCCGGCACGAAACTGCTACGTGGCAGGGAGCACGCGAACAATGCTGCCCTCCAAGACGGAGAATCATGCCGACACATTCGTTCGAAACAAATGCAAAATTGAAAGAGACAGACATAGGTCGGAATTGGGCCACCGAAACTACTCTCCGTACACGACACTGCACTACAAATGTTTGCTGTTTTCGGTTGGCTCTCAGAACCGTAAAACACATGACACCCTTCGCACGTCAGGCAAGTCACGTCACGGCCAAGCCTGGTCGTGCGGCAAAAACTCCAGTGGTCGCATCACGAAGAGCAATATTTACTGGGGCCCTCCTACGAAATCTCGTCTCGCGCCGAATACTGCTGTTGGCGCACCAACTATTCAGCTCTTGACGGGAACAACAGGTAACTTGAGGACGTTCTTCGTTAGGAAAACACACCTGCGGAATAGCCGGAGCCTCATCTTCATCTGGCTGGTCTTCCTCCTGCTCCTCTTCCTCTGGAGATTCCTCTTCCTCCGGCTCTTCGTCTTCGTCCTTCTCTTCCTGAACACGGTAAGGGAAGCAAGGTGGCAACATCATCGAGAGCGTGGCGAGCGATAGTGCTGCTTGCTTCGCCGGTATGGGCTACGGAAGGGCGCCTCTTTGACCGTCAAGGCGCCATATCGGGACGTGATGGCGGGTGACGCCGTGTACTTCGTCAGTACCTCGTCACGTCACCTTCTTGCCAACGATGAAGAACAAGACAACGTTAAGATTTGATACGTTATTATAGCGCTGCGAACAGCAACGGAGCTATCGCTTCCGCCCACCCCCCTCTACCCACGACATCCACGCAAAAGGAGTTTGCGGGAACGTTTCCCACCTCGCCATTTTCATCATCCTCTTGGTTGTTCTGCGGCGGCGGAGGAGGCGGCGGCGGCGGCTCCAACTGGCACCAACGGAAGGACAACGAAAAAAGCATTTTGTGAGTATTTGCGACATGATGGTGCAGATAAACTTCGCATGAACCAAAACCCGCAACACACGTACGCTAAAAACCCTCGACACGGTTCCACAAAGCAGAAGCAACTGTGCTATTACACGACTGCTTGGCTGCACCTTACCCTAGAGGACGAGATACCACCACAAGTGACTACACTGAACAGCAGGTAAATCTCGTCTCGTCCGCCTCACCATTTCTTCGTCGTCCTGGGGCATCTGCATGAAAATGCCACGAGGGGCAATCGCGAGTTTCACGGCAAGCTTAAGGTCTTCGGCAGACACGCGCCTGTCCTCCAAAGCTGAAAAAACAGAAAGTGAACAGGATAACGAAGTGAAAAGAGTTGGCCACAGACGCTATCAGCAGTCTCTTCATCGCATCTTAGGGGAGAGGCACCTGCTATTCATTCGTTACCTGCGTTCTGCAGCGATGCAATGCAACCGACGGAACTAGGGGTATGTTCGGGTACACACGGAACTGGAGCCACCACAAGCTGGTTTACACCATTGGGTTGGAATACAAGGACAACCTGTGGACGGCGTCATGTTGCCACAACACTACGTAAAGGAACCCAAGATATTGATCAGCAACTCACCGGCTGAAGCCCTAGCCACTTCACAAGCAAATATTTCCGCGCGCTGTCCCTGGGTTTGTGCGCGGCTCGCCTCCTCGCACAAATACTTGATCTGGTCTTTGGACAGTTGCAGTTGCTGCGAGAAAGAAAGAAGTGGGGAAGCGAAAAAAATTGACGGCCTTCAAAGCGTGGCAGCAAAACAGCAGAAACCCTGCAGGCGTACGCACATGTTTACAGTAGCTTGCGCAAGCACACTAGAAACGGCACGAAGCCGCCGCCCCGTCAAAGGCAAGAGATAACGCGCGAGCAAAAAGCTGTGACTGCTGTCTCTGAACACACACACGTCAGTACTAGCTAGTACCTTCAGCTCTTCCCTGGCGAAGATGATGCGAGTCTTGACGTTATCTTCCTCGTCCAGGATGCTTTGGAGATCTGCCTCGTCGATGTCAGCCCACTCCAGCACACCTAGAATACATACATATGTGCACGGTAATCATGTGCCAGAGACAAACGAGCGGGGGACAGCAGTTGCATCAGTGCATGCGCATACTTGTGGTGTTCGACACACGGCAGAGGCAAAACCGGGGTAAATGGCCATCAAAGCGCGGCTAGAGAGGCTTCAAATCTCCGAGTAAATTCGAGACTTTGGCTTTCGTCTGCACGCAGCCACAAGAACCTCACGGCAGATATTGTATCCGATCTTTGAGTGCCTCCGAAAACGAGACCTAACGTGGGGTGGAAAGCCACAGCAGTCACGCCCAAGACCACCATACCCCTACAGCACTCTAACCAGCGGGCTCAACGATCCAAACATACGTGCGTTCGCTGTGACCACTCCACAGCGAGGCTTACCGTTCACAGCTTCAATGCGCTGATCCATGTCCAATGGCGCAGCATCAACGCTGAGAGCAACAGCGATGCGGTCTAGGAGATGGTCCCGCAACTCTGCCTCCTCTGGGTTGAACGTGGCGATCATCAGAGGCTTGCATGGGTACCTCATCGATATACCCTCACGCTGTTAAAAACACGCGGACAAGAAAGGCGCGGGCTAAGTTGTCCGCAAAAGCAGCCAATATTTGGGGCACAACAATGCATGCGCAAAAACGTACCCTGGTACCTGGTAGGTATCTCTCCTGTAACCCCGAAAGCTAGTTCCATCCGACAACTTCCGACGCGATCGGTTCTCGGTTGCAGACTCACGAATCCCAAACAGGTGAGTTTTGGAAATCCTGATTCTCTTACCTCTACGTTAACCCATCCATCAGACACAATCCCCAGTAGGATCTGGCACAGCTCAGTGTCCAGCAGGTTGATGTCGTCGACGTACAGGATGCCCCGGTGGGCGGTCGCTAGCAATCCTGGCAGAAACACCGTCTTTCCCTGGTAGTATGAGAGAGAATCCAAACCATTTGAAGGGACCAAACAAGTCCAAAATAGAGTATCGGGATGAGTGAGCAATTCACGCCACAACTCAACTGCAACAAGAACAGGCACAGTCTATGGACACCCAGCAAGAAGTAGATGGTCGTACAAAAGAACGCTAGCTGGATTCTGAAAAAAAACATAAGAAAACGTTGACAAAGTCCTGCCAATGTCCGCAGAGGACAGACTTGAAGAAAGCAGCCTGGATAAATACAAGGATCCGTCCACAACCCCGTATATTGAAGTATATTGGAGTCTGTAAGGGATCGCACCCACCAGGAAATCACTGCGGTAGACAGACGTGAACAGAAAAAAAAAGGAACGGTTGACGTAAGCACAAATCGTCGAGATGGTGCGCACTGTAGCGCTGCTGTAGGATTGCTCACCTGTTTCACCGATTCCTCCACGTCCACAGAGCCCAAGAGGCGGTCCTCCATCACGTTCAAAGGAACCTGTTCCAAATGGGAAACACATGCGCCGGCAAACGGCTGAACGTCTAAGCCACAAAACGACGGCCACACAAGCTAGAGAGCCCGTAGGTCAAGCACATCAAGCCATCAACGTCCTCTGTGTGTAGAACGAATTGTGATTTTTATTCCGGGGGAGGAAAAAACCTGACTGACAGGACGGGCATTCCGACACTTGCCAACACACCACAAACCAGAGCCATAAAATGAAACCCCTGACTGGAAACGGCCGCTACGGTGATATACACAAGAGCTCCCTGCGCCCCAAGCTTACCTGAACAAACGGGGCATCCACAATCTCCGTCTCGAGGTCGCTCAACTCCTTTCCTTCTCTCTCGAGCATGGCAGCGGTGAAGTCATCCACCATGTTGGGCGCTTCTGGGTCCAAATTGTACGCGGAGTCCTGCAGGATGGAGCACGGCATCGAACGCCCGGAGTAATTCAAGATGATGGTGGTCGGATATCCACCGCCAACTCTGCAGATTAGATTAGCTCTCTGCTACAGTCATCACCGTCATCAAACACTCCAAATCGAGGAACAACATTGTAGGAATTGCCGTGGGTGACATAAATGACGAACCAGGCAGCATTTCCACTCGCGGACGCAAAGCAACGTTTTCAAACCTCACAACCTCAAACCCCACCTTGATGCGTTCGATTGGCGGCAACACGCTGTGAATAGCACGCGCCAGGATGGACTTGGCCGTGCCCCTGCTGCCCGAGATCAGAACACCGCCCATGGCAGGATTCACTGGCAGAAAAAATAGCAATATAAACGGCCAATGCAGCCGTCTAGCTTAGATACCAGCGAAATTACGTCGCGACATAATCTTTCCATCTCGGGGAGCGAAGCATGCATGCATTCGGCCATCCCTCACTAAGCGAACGCCATCTCGCCGAGGCTAAACCTGCGGAAAGCCTCGACACTGCCATCACATGTGTCGCGTGAAAACATGTGTAGCTGGCTGTTCGCAAGGCACACTCTTGGTAACGATTGAAGCAACATTTTGAATACCGAGTGAGTTCAAAATCAGCACGTGATCATCAAACAAGACATGCAAGCAACCCGTCATGCGCGCCCTATCATCTACTGCTGTCTCCATGTCACCTGCAGCCAGTAGTAAAGCCAGCTTGACCATGTCTTGCCCCACGATCTTGGACATCGGGTACGGCCTTGTCGGCATCTTGACCGGCTGCATTACTGCGGGAAATGCAGCATCACATCAACCACAATCCATTCACCACATATGCAGACGCGACCATTTCCTGTCAGCACTCATTGCATTCACAACTTCAAACGAGGATACTGTTGTAACGTCGCGAATCATGGCACAGGGCGGGGCACAATAAAAAGCACGAAGCACGCGATTTTCTTCGATTGCCGCACAGGGGTCCATCGGGATCATCGTAGAGGGGTGCATCACGAAACCTGAAGGCATGTAATTGCAGCCGTCGGAGTGCTGGAATACATAAAATACCACGGTTCTCATCTGTTTCCTTGAGGAGCTAGCTCCTCTGCTGCATGAATGGCAGCGTCGTGGACCACACGCAATCTTCATTGGATCGGTTAATCGCTACTCAACCAACCAAGCTGATCATTTTACGCCCCTTCACCCACAACAATGAATAAATAGTGTACTTGCACGACCTGATGTACATTCTCATAGACTACAGAGCGTCCATCACGAGAATTTGAGAGAGGGGTGCAATGATTAAAGGCACATGAGATGGATACACATCCAGCAGGCAGTACACCATTCACGCCATTCTTTATTCGTGGCACCCGACCAAAATCGCCTGGTGCCAGTACTGCAGAGGGTGCGGTAGAGCGGGCATTCGTAAAGAGAACAAAATCTTCCCCTCCTGAACGTCACATGGTCATGATGGTCGCACATACTGGTGCACGGAGCAAGAGCTGGTGTGGTGTGGTGCGCCGGGTAACGCCTGCTGTGATGTGTTGGATATCGCACGTATCGGAGTCATCGCAGGCCTGGGGTGGGCATTGAACCGTCTGGGTCCCAGAATCACCGCTGGGGATGCATGCCACTCAGCATCGCGCGTATCGGGGTCATCGCGCAGCAGTGTGAGCGTTAAATACAACTTCAATGAAATATTCCGGAGGAATCTAAATGGCGCAGGGTCGGCGTCATTACACCCCTGTGTGGTGAAACGCCAAGAACAAAATAGTTTCAAAACCGATCGTACAGGGGTGAGATGACCCGCAACCTTAAGGTACAAAATGTCTCGACTGGCCGCCACGCGGCTGCTGCGGACTGCTGCAATGCTCTTTGCGCCCAACAGACGTTCGAGGGTTGAGGTTGAGGTGATGCTTTTCTTAACGGGATCGACATAAAATTGGTAGCACCTGCAGCAATCCTGGTCAAACGCCCCCGAAGCGAGAATATATATGCATTCGGGATTGCGTGTAAAGTGTAAAGACCAAACCCAAAGTGCGCCCTGCTGAACCGCTCCAATCCGACACGTTGTCAAACGTGGCTTGTCGTGTATGAGCCTGTATGATCGTATGAGCGATCACGATCATTATGGGCAAGTCGCTGAACACAGCTGAGAGCCAGCAGTTTGTATTCCCCGCTGGTGCCTTGTCTTCGAAGCTATCAGGGCGTGGACAATGACAGGATTCAAACCCTGCCATTGCTCGCTTGTGGCACATTTGCCTCTCCGTTCCAACGCACCAACCATCAGGAAGCACAAGCAAACAAGGTCTTGAGCATGCTTATGATGTGCGCACACCGCCACCGCCGAGCCGAAACAAACATTGTCCAAAAATTTCACGGCAGAAGGGAACGAAATACCTTGCTTGCCCATCTCTGACTGAGCCTCCATGGCGGCCTCTGCTTCCATCACTGCCTTAACTCTCTCATCGAGTGCTGGGACCTCCGCCACCATCCGCACCCCACCCTGCCGAGTGCTTCGCATGCCACCATTGGACGCGTGCACCCGAGATACATCCGAGCCACCCCATCGCCGCTGCTGAAGCCAGGGACCCTAATGCCAAACAAACAGGGCACAAATGCATTCACATAAGTGACGTGAAGTCGTGGCTACATCGAGAGCATTCCAGGCTGGTTACCGTGGTGGGCCGCCGTACGACGAATCACGTTACGCTATAACGAGAGAGGGGCACATGATGGGTGCAGGCTGCAAATGAACATGAGCATGAACGTACCGAGTAAAACCCTTCACAGACCGCTGCCAGCAGCAAGAACGCGGCCGCCTTAGTTTTTGTCTGCGGCTTCATGACGCCCGGCAGCCCCAATGGCGAGATTCGGAAATCTCGGGCGCTCACACACAAAGTGTGCGCCTTTGGTCAAGCTCAATCGCTAGGGGACTCGTGCTCCTCACTCTACGCTCACCCTCCTTCACACAAGCCAGATAGGACGGGGTCCCCACACCTAGGACACTTCTGTGGTTGAGCCGGGGGGTGTACGCGTACGATGGGGCTACCGTATATGACACAAGATAACGCACCCCCTGGACCAATTTTCAAAGCTCGATTACGCCACGACGAAGAGGATGGACAAATGAAACAATACATTTTCGGAAATCTATCATCGAGAAAGCATCAACGCCACTGTTTTAGGCGCTGTGACTCTTTCTGTTGATGAGAAATCGAGATTTGAAAAGCGGTCCAGGGGGTGTGTTATCTTGTGTCACTTACGGTAAGTGTCGCTTCGGGACCCCAACTCCATAACTCACCGCGTCCATGCGTCCATCATGATCACACGTGACGCCTCGTTATTGTAGTAAAATCTATCTTGTTTCTCTCTCTCTCTGTTCTCTTCTCTTTCTTGTGTCGAAAACGTGGAGGAGGCAAGGCGAGTGGAACACTGCGTGCGTTGTAGAAGGATGGCCGTCACCGACAACATACAACCCCAAGACAGCCCGGTCGACGAACACAGATACGCGAAAATATTTGAAAAACTGGATACGGAGGACGGATATCTTAGCGGCAAGCGAGCCGTGGTTCTACTGCGAAAGTCGGGCGTGCCACAAGAGACGCTTTCAAAAGTGTGGGCGCTCGCAGACTCTGATGTTGATGGAAGATTGTCCTTGAAGGTGCGTTGTATTTGAGTACATAACGATATGCGTTGGTACTCCGAGCAAAATTTTCCTGTTGGCGTCGTCAACTTGTCAACCATTGCAGCTGCGTTGACACGTCTTTTAACGAAAAACCTTCGCTCTTCCGGATGCTGTGTTCTCCTTGGGCAGGAGTTTTGCACGGCGATGCACCTCATTGGATGTTTCCGCAAGGGGCTGCCGCTCCCGGAGGTACCGAGTAGGAAGCCAAAGAAGCCCAAGAAACGGCAGTCTCCTGGCGGTGACACAAAGCCAAGAGAGGGCCAAGGAAAGCGTGAAATCACGTTTGCGAAATCCCCCAAGCGACGATCCCGCCTGGCGTCTCTCGTTGACCCTCACCAGGATGCTAATCCCCCCGGTGCTTCCATCGCGAAATCGCACGAGCCACTAGTAAGCAACACAAACCTAGCGTATGATATATATGTGTCGTCCCATGTTGTTCTGGTATTTCCTGGATCAGTAGGATTCGCAAGTTTGTAGTATTAACATGTTGGATAAAGCGTACAATCCGGGAGGTTGGGTTGGGTTAGGGATAGGGTTGGGGAATAGGGTCTGCGTCCTCCCTCCCTGTCCTATTCCCTCATAAACGTATTAATCGTGCGAAAGCGGTCCTCCTGGATACATCAACTGGTACGTACAGCTTCCTTTGAGCAGGTGAGTACTAAATTGACCCGTTGAAGCTCGTGTGTCACACCCTCGGGTAAGCAGGATCCGCAAGTCCGCGACTCTCTGGATCCTTACCTTGTGCGGGAGCAGGAGCCCAATGATCACGAGTCAGTGGAAAAGCAGGCGTCTCAAGGAATTGCGCCAGCAGTGAGTTAAAAGGCTTGGGCTAGAAGTGTTGGAGCATGTAGTGCGCCGCATACAGTCAATTTGTTTGGAGGTGCGCGGAAAGAGAAACAGAACCCACATTGCTCACAGTTATAAGCAGCAAGCATATTGTGCTCGCGCAAATAGCAGTTGGGATACGCGTGAAGTACTGACACCGAGAGATGAATCAATCAGCAGGGCGCGCAGTCACCAAACGGCAAGGAGAGGGAGGAACGAGGAGAGTTGATTCCCGAAAAAAAGGGCGCGACGGATGAATTTTTCGCAACCAGCCGAAAGGAGGCGGAAGAGAGTCGGGATCATGGAGGGCAATCTCGTATCCGCCGACCGAACCTTCGCCAGCTGGACGACAAGGATGTGGACGCGGTTTTTGCGGAGGGGCCAGGGGCTATCAACTCCCTCCGCGACGTGCAGGTGCTACGGTTTGCAAAATGGCGTTGTTGTCATCCGGCATGATTGTACGCGCGTGATGATTGTGGCGTGCCAAGAATTTGCTTTCAAAGAACCATGTCTACACCGCGGGTGGTCTGCCAGCCCCCCACCAAATAGGCACACGTCATGCCGGCAGCCTCAGCACACACATCCCTTTTGGTATGCGGTGCCTCTTCGGTGCTCTTTATCTGCAGAGTTGGCGCGTCCTCGTGATGGGCCTTCAGCGGCTGTCGGGAAAGGACATGGCACGTCATGTACCGGTGGGTGAACTTGGTGTCGTGCTCTATGTTCCGCGAGCTTTGCGAATACACGTAATGCGTACGTGGGCCGTACCCTTACTACTGAACGTACGTGTCTCCTTAATTGTTGATGATGTAGCAATGATTTTTCTTCTTTTTGACCTGAAATCGATCCCGTTTGTTGCCTTCCACATGAAAGACGAACGTGAGGCCTCGTCGACGGCATACCTTGCCACTAGCCGCGAAGGGAGACCTCGCACGAAAACAGGATTATCTGCCGGGTAGAGGTCGAAGAACAAGCCTCCTCGGGACCGCATACGAGCCAGCCGCGTTGTTTCTCAAGTGAGCTACTGTAAGCTCTTGGAGAGGTAGATTCGCAGCCGGCTGACTCTCATATATTAACGTTTTGAACCTGCTTCGACAAGAAGTGTAATTGTTCCAACAGGCACCCTCGGGCCTCGCTCAAGGTTCTTGATGGATAAGAATAGCAATACAAAAAACCGTCGAAGCTCGAATCATGGGCCTCATTGACAGTATCAGGTATTGAAGGCAATACGATATGTATTCCCCAAGTAGCGCAATGCAGGGATATTGATACCTTGATACATTCTTGATCGCGTTTTCTTGCAGGCAACGGGCCGAGAGAAGGAGTATTCGGGAGGCGGACTTAGAAAAGGATACGGCAAAGGCAGCTGAAAAATGGAACCTCAAACCCTTGCGAGAGAAGTCTGAGAGGTAAGAGGTAAGGGGCCGTTCGTAGGTTTCTGCTGGTATTTAGTCTTGCTCAACGATGTCTTGTTGTTGAATCACATGCGAACCGTGTGGTTGCCAAGATAGGCGTCGCTCTTGGCTCCCAGGCATCCTATTGTAAACCTGCGGTTTTCAACATCTCCAACGCGAAGGTGCGAAAGTGATGGAGAGCAAACATCCAGTAGAGGGAACCTGAGTGTCGCTGGGCTGCCACTTCTGGACGAGGATGTTGACATCATCGTGCACGTGAGATGTTGCAGCGTAGTTGCAACTCAATAGCCAGCCCCGTACTAAACAAGAAGGCCGCGTCTCTACCCCGGCCTGGTTGTGTTGCCACTGGTGTTTCCATGTTCTTCTCGACATGTCATCGTTTCCCCCGTCGGCATTTCTCTCGTGGAGCATCAATAACCTCTCAAAACAACCAATAGGGCATACAAACAAGAGAGAAACGAGGGGCAACGAGGGGCAACGAGGGGCAAGGATTGGGTGACTGTAGGCAGGAGGCGTCGTCCAATCCAACCCTTAGACCAAGTGATCGACAACGGTATCAAGAACAGCAGTGGTGTGAAAAGCAGTCGCTTCGCCCTATTGAAAAATGTTCGTCTGCCGCGCACGTTCTGATACTCTTGTGTCCCGTCCTCCAGCTGCTGCGGCAAAATCATGCCTTCAAACGGCTGGATCTGAGCAGGTGCTTCCTGTCCGAAAAACAGTTTGTCTCGTTGGCGCAAGCGTTGGCGTGGAATTCTCGCATCGAAGAGGTGAGTTCAGACACTGCGGTTGAACCGACGGCCGAGCACAAGTATCACTGTCACATTTTAGTTCTTTCGCCGAGGTGGAGCCAAGTGCTACTTGCCGGTGTTTCGATGTGCTGAGTGCATTTCGCAATCTCCTCGTGCGTTGCTCTACATCCCCTTCGAATGCATGCTTGCAGCTTTTCCTCCAAGAATGCGTCTTCACAAGCGTGGGGACCGCGGCTCTAGCAGATGTGCTAACAGTGAACAATCACATTCATTCTCTTGACGTCAGAGGATGCAAGGGTGAGCGGTTCCAGGAGCGATACCGAGTCTTTCGGCTTGGGACCGCGTGAAAATGCTACATATACTTTTGGATGACCACGCCAGCTTGCCGTCCCAATGAGAGGGACAACGCCTACAGGACACGCTATATGGTCCCACCTCGCACGCACTCACAATGTGTCAGTTCAGCGTTCGCACATGGTTGGTGAGAAAGTCCATGACACATTTCCGACGCGGTGTACCTACTCTCCGATGAACCCGCCTCACCGACATCAGGTCTGGACGAGAAGAGCATTAAAGTAATTCTCGGGGGAGCGCGTAGCAAGGGAAACCTTTTGACGTTCAACGGAATGAACCTGGCCGACCTCCGTGCTGAAGGCTCCGACGAGCTGGACTTGAGCGGGTGAAGTGCACTCACAAAGGATGCGCACCTTTTGTTATAAGCTTTCCCTCGCCCTTGGCTCAACGCGTTGTGGTTTATTGTTGAATATCACCTTGTTGTTCGCGGTCATATGTTTCAACACAGCGTTACTTAGGTGAGCTTACGCTAACCGTTTGCCCGGGTCCCAGAAGATGCTCGAGGTGGAGGGTAAGAGATGAGCATTAATGAGGTGGAGTCTTTACTTTTGTTTTCTTTCGAGTTGGTTCATCATTTATTCGGTTTCTAGGCCACGTGTTGGAGAGAGAGAGACACGGAACACCCGCCCTCTCTCCAGCCGCGTTGTCTGCGAGGAACGGCGTCAACTCTTACAGCATCTCTCTCCCCACAAGAATACCACCCGGGAGACCACGACTGCAAGTGAGGAGTCTCGAAACTGACCGAGTCCTCAAACTATACATACCATGCCACATCACCCGACTACATACCGAATACTACCCCTACTTAAAAAAAAAAATGATGGGAGGGAGACATTTTGCTAAACTGCCGCCACCACGTTGGGCGGCCGCTGCTGTCCTTCCGTTTCTTCACGCTGACACTCGCGACCCCAGGATTTCCAACAGATAATGAAGCCAAATCTAATTCGACCGTTACAAAATTACACTCCATTTTTTTTTTCTGCATGACGAATATACGTTCCTACTTTTTCCGTGGTTGAAGGGTTTTCCAGTGTTGAACACAACAACCTCAGCATAACTAATTTCGCTATCTTCTTCACGCGCAGGTGGGGCTTGGGGTATGTGGAGGCTATTATCGTTGCAGACTGCCTTCGGGGGCGCTCAGACGGCTTGCAAAGGGTGGACTTGCACAGCAACATGCTCTCAACGTCAGTTGTGGCGTATCTCTCTTCAGGACACTAGTTGGGGTGTAGCACAGATTGAGAAATGATTCAAGTCTGCCACGAAGGAAGTAGTAGAGTACGTTTGGGCCGAAAATGTCGGTGTACTGTATTGCTGAAAGGTACATGGGAAATTGCTGCTCGAACTATTCGGTAGACAATACGCCCCGATTGCGAGGCAGGCGAGACAAACATCTGTGACGACACACTAATCTCCCCTACCTTCGATTGGAATATGTTGCATGGCAGGGAGGCTTTCAAGACCCTAATGGCAGCTTTGCGGAAGCAGTCCCAGCTGCGCTCCCTGGACCTGAGTCATAATATGGTATAAATCGTGCACAATTGAGAGCTTCAGATGTAGGCGACTTTATTTAATTGCTTCCATCGCATTTGTTCAACCATTCCCTCCAGAATATATAGAAAGCAGGATCAGATTGTGGGCGGGGCGACCACGGGTGTTCATTGAAAACACGACGGTCACGTTGGTGTTCTACGGATGAGTTCCAGGTAACTGTGTGACCCAACCAGAATTGAGACCCCACTCGTCCGTCAAGAAAATGCTTACAATCGCCATATTCCGACTTCCTGGAACACAGGTTGATGAACGAACTCTGCCTGAAATCGCAGAGCTTATCCGCGGAAATTCAAGCCTCGCCAGCGTGAAATTGGCAAATAACCGCATTAGCTGCACCGAATTTGAGCACTACGGACTTGAGCTCATGAGGTTGCTGAGCTCCAACAACATTGTAACGGTGAGACATCTATTAGAACCGGGCTCGCCGGCGATGCTGTCCGTCGAGGTTACGAGGGTGTTTCTGCCAAATTGTCACAAGCCAAGTCGATGAATTACTTCCGCCGCGTGTTTCGGTTGTGCTGTGCAGGAAGTCTCAGAGCATACTATTTTTGCGTGGGGCAGGGCGCATGTCTGTCAGCTGCGGCTTCGTGTAGCCTCCCGCTGCCACCTACAACATGCGATCTGCGATGAGCATTGTTATTTTTTTTTTCTGTAACCGCTTTACGTGCTTCATGTCGCTCAACTGCAACCCACCACCGGTTTCTCATGACTGCGTGCCGTGTCTCTTGCGGCCGGCGGTAGGTGTTCAGTATCGAGGAAAACAACGTCTCACCGAAGATGCTGACCATCATTGCGGAAAAGCTCGCTGCCAATCGAGCAGTCCGACGAGATATGACGTTTGTGGACTGTCTCCAACAAAAATATCCCCGGGTTGCGCCAAGACCCGTGCTAGCTGACCCGAGGTGGGAAGAACAGTGGTTGCGCTGGTTGTGCGCTTGGAAACATTTTCCATGAGTGTTTGGAGGAGGGCTGCAGGAAGGAGGGGGGGGGGGGGGCGAGGCCCCTACGGCAACCAACCGAAACACTGATACATCGAATGAATAGGACCGCCGAGACGAAACGCTGACCCAACCCACACGGCGAACGTTTTCTTTTTACAGGAGGCTACATCTTGAGGTTGTTGACGTGCCCTTTATGGTCCAGGAGGGGATTCCAGCAATGCAAACGACGGTGAGCTCAATTGTCACCTAACCCAACGTTCGGGACAAGTGTACTGCCGTTTGTGATGTTTTCTGATCGCACAGGACAATCGTTTGTAAACATGATTCGCTCCAGGTCCGCACCGAGGAGGCAACGATCCTGACATTGGACGGACTGAGACCAGGCATCCCCCGCGACTTGTTCTTCATACAACAACGTAGCGCCAACGTGACTTGAGAGGGGTTGGACAAGGGACCGCGCTGGTGCGAAGAACTACCTTGCTGGCGCGAAAAACCGCCTTGGAGTTCTAGCATCTAGTACAACACCCGCGAAATGCGTCTTGTTTGTAGGTATTGATTGCAGCGCTCAGACATGTGGGATCGGAGGAGGCAATATAATTCCCGGAGCATGATGATTCATAACAACCCATAACAGGCACCTTTTAAAATGAGCCACCTCTGCTTGCCCTCGCCATGAAGTGGGTCACAAACTTTTCCATGGGTTTCTCTCCTGGTCTTCACAGAGTGTGTGGGGGGGTGCACTCATAGTCGCGCATGCCGTTGTCGTTAGAACATTGACTTCGCATCCCTACAAAGGCGGGACGGAGCTCGCCGGGCTCTCACCGGACCAGTCTCTCACATCACCAAAGCGCGAAGCGCCGTGAGGTATTCGGCGAGTCGCATGAAGGTGCGCTGCATCCTGCTAAGGGTGTTCGGCATCTTGTGCTTACTTCCTTGCGTACGGATGACAGCTGCGTATGACTTAATTTATTTTCTGGTGCTTTCACTTCCAGAGACAACTGTAAGCGCTGTTTAATTGCCTCGAGAGTGCTTGACCAATTTAACACAACGTGGTGCGATTATCCCCTTTGCGCGGAGTGAGGCTTCTTGACCCCGCACAACATAATCTACTCGACCACCATTCATGGTTACCGCAAAAAAAACACCAAAGGCGCAAAAAAAAAGCGGTAAACTAGTTGCTGCGCTCACGAAGTGATCGGCTTGTTTTACAACATCACTGCCAAGCGACGAAAACCCAACCCCGATGGCAAACACCGGGGGGGACGAGTGGGCAGGGGGGGTAGTTTAGGGTACCTGCGCAGCCCAAATTACATCTGGACCAGAGTGTCTGAAGACAGAGAGAAACTACTACTGTAGAGTGGAATACAAAAGTGATGGAGCCAAAACAGTGTTCACGGAAATTTTCGTGGCCCTTCAGGCGCACTACTTTGTGTGCTGCCAACCAGCCCACTTTTCCATACTCCGTACATGCTTTCAGGATCAAGGGGCCGTTGAGCAGATCCATGCGCGGCCCACCGCAGAAGGAGATAGCGCAGATTGGGGTTGGGAACTGGAATCGACGGCAAAGAACTACGTTGGGCCGCCCTTCAGACGGCGGCGGGCGGCCAACTGTATGGCTACCCACGCGTGTGCCCCCCTCCCGTAGGCCGCTTTAATCCCATTGCTGAATATACGAAAGTTTGGGTGACTCAACCAGGCTCCAGGTCAGTTGTCGAGAAGAAGACGTGTTGAGAAAAGTACGGGTGGGACCACAGGCCGGAGCTGGAGGCCTCATCCAAAATCCAATACTTTCATTAATTGACCCTAAACCCACGAGCAATAATACAACAGCATAATCGGGGTCTACAAACGAACATAAATTCGGCATGAAAGTGGATGCAGTCGTCTGTCCCGATAACATGTTGAAATGTGCATGGAGCCGATCAGTGTCTTTCTCCCTACCGTGAATACGCGCGAACACACACGGTCAAAATAAGTTCGAGACCATCCGCCCTGCTGCTACCAGTTGTTTTCACGTGTCTTCGTCGTCCATGACGAAGCCCGCGCCTCACGTCGTGGTCTCGTTTGGTATTCTAAGCCGACCGAGATCACTCTGTTAGACATGGTTTTGAGAGACTGTTTTAACGCGATATGGTGCGGAGCATCGCTAGCGGCCAGAGTTGTAGTGTTCAATCGAGCGACATCTTGCCAACCAGCGTACTTCGGCGTAGAGCCGTGGGAACAACGTGATGTACCATCCTCGACACACGCTTCCCTCGCTCGTCGGTTTCGGTAGTCGAGCGTGCATCGCGAGTTCCAACACAAAACAAACTACGACCGTTGGTCGACGCTTGGTTCTAGAGCCGGTTGTTGTACTAATTTTTGTCCGGGCTTGAAATAATACCTGGCTCGTGGCCGAAATCGCCGAAGCTGCAGAACTCTTTCTCTGGTGAACGATCGCATGGTGTATCTGTACTTCCGATGCCATTCTCTAGATGACCTGTTGTCGACCTGTTGCTTGTCGCTTGCTCTCTATGCACGATAGAACGGCCTTGCTCTCGGCCCCCACGTCCCTGTCCTAGCTCGGTCTTTGCTTGGGACCTGAGGAAGCGTTGATGTCGGGTGCGGTGCCATGTGCTCTATTGCAGCGCAACAGATCGGACCAACACTCTACGACGTAATCGAGCAAAGAGACCTCATTGTGACTCCATCACATGCCAACCGAGCAAGTCTTGGGTCAATAGGTGAACCTCACCTCGTGGCGGGTTCGGAAACGTTGCGCGGTGGCTTTGTGACTTTGACAGGGTTCGCCAAAACGTGGTGTTGTTCCTTCTACGACTTGTTCCATGCTACGT